TTCTTGGTGGAGGGGTACATCCACAAGCTGGTGATTCTAGTTTGTGGCTATGTGGGCAGGGTCTCTTCCTTTCACTCTAGCCCCAGTCAGTTGCACACAGTGTAGAAAGTGTAAATTGTGGTGGCCACTTTTCATTATGAATAATGAACCATGTGAAATTTAAAACTTCAACAGTAGCAAAATACATATTAGAGAAACACGGAGGAGCGTGTGCCAGTCTCCCCCATACAGAAATGTCATATATGACGTATATGTCCCTATATCAAGCCAGATGTCGCCATATACAGTATTTCACCTATAAGAGAATATATTATAATCTCATATATACATCCTCTGGATATATGAAGATATAGGTCTATAACGTATATGAAATGCCCATAGTAAAATGACATTGGTAAAACATGTTGCAACCACATTTGTTAATGATATACAGTATATTCAATTTATATATGCAAATTTTTAAAAACAACATACAAATTCTCTCTGTTTATATCAGTTTTTTCTGTCTTTCTCTATACATGTCTATATTTGATATTTACATATATAATATCAACATATACTGGCAGGCTTTGGGATGGATATATATCTATGTAACATATATCTACAGTATAAACATACATAAATAAACGTACATATTTGTATGGGCTCGACATATACGTCAGTATATGAAATAGTTCCAGATTCTAACAGGTTCAATATGTAATTTTTTTACAAATAATGTACATGTATTTCATATATGGGAATTCAAAATATGTACATAGATTAAAGTTGTGTATGGGACAGGCTGTGATGGTTGTTTACAGTATACAGTGTTATCATAGCCAATAGAAATGATGGAAGTAAGCCTTTACATGGATGAACACTTTCTGTCCCTACAGTTGGTTTCAGGGGGGCTGCAGTAAGTAGTTTAAAATAACAGTGCTGGTGTGATGGCCCAAGATATATGTAGATAGTAGCAGAGCAGAAATATGTGTTGAATCCTGTGTAGAGTCAAAGAGGCACTGACTGTCTCAGAAGTCAGTCGTGCTCTCACATATTGAAGAGGAATAAAAATGATGATCCTATAGAAAGAGACGCTCCAACAGTCGTACACAGCCCTCTCTTCCTTCTCCCCAATCCCATCCTCCTCGCTTCTCTGTCCGCCCACTCACTGTCAACTGTGGCAACAAGACAGGGAGGGAGAGGAGGAGAGTGAAGGGGAGAGACGAAGAAAAGAGGAATCTGCTCTTGAGTTTGTGTGCTTGGAGGAAGCTGTCTCTAAGTACCGGTAGATGTCCTGCAAGGTTTTACATCATTTGCATTCAAGAGGCACCCTCAGGGCTGAGAACATATCCCATGATCCCTGTGGAGAGGTCTGTGTGCTGTTGTACCTTTTGGTGCATGTTTAGATTCTCTCTCTCTTCACAATGACAAATTAAATTAGACAGGCTCTATCAGACATATGAACAGTCTTATAGTCTTCGTTCAAACAAGATTTTTGTCCTTATGACTGCCTCAGCATTATTTGCTTGGAGAGAGAAGCTGACATCTCTTTAGACACAGGGCCTGTAACAGAAGCCTACAATAAAAGTCAGGATATGTTCCTATGAAAGATGAAGAACCAGCTTGATATTAATGTTGATCTGTTGGGTTATATACTCCGATTGATTGGTTACCTTTGCTGATGATACTCATTTCAGTACATTTCACCCCAGAATAATAATCCTCAGGCTTTGACCTCAATTATAACCTGTTTATATCCCCTAACCCACTATCACAGAAGTCAACATTAACTTCACTTCTCTGTCAACACTGAAGTGAAGTTAATGTTTGATTCTGATTTCAGTTTCAAACATCACCAAAACAGCCTTCTTCCATTTGACAACATCACAAAGTTGGACATTTCTTGAACCAGGACAATGCCGAAAAATGTATTAACTCCTTACCCATACACAAACGTTATACATGTATATATATTAAATTTCCATATTTGAAATATGTGTATATATAAAATAAAAACATATATATAAAATGTATTAAACCAATTAGAAATTACAACAATTTCATACATTGACATATACTGTATGTCTAGCACATACAAATATATATGTTTCTATATGTATGTTTATATTGGTAGACATATGTTACATAAATATATATCCATCCCAAAGCCTATATATACATTATATGTGTTGATATTATATAGGGTTCAAAAGTCTGTGACCACTTTCCCAGAATAGGAGGATAAGCATGTTTAAAATTAATAAGAAATTAAATTTTTTTTAAAAACATATATAAGCATATATAATTTTATATGTAAGTTGTTTTAATAAACTGACATATAAATCAAATATTTATTGTTATTGTTAACATATCTGGTTGTAACCTATTATACTATATAAAAAATAATCGTAGACATTTTTTTCATATGTACATACAAATTTTACTGTGGGTATTTCATATATGTTATAAACTTATATCTTCATTTATCCAGAGGATGTATGTATGTGATGATAATATATCCCCTTATAGTCAACATATAGGGCAACATCACTCAATGATATAGGGACATATACGTCATATATTACATTTCTGTATGAGTTATTTCAAACTAATTAGACTAATGTAATATATTAGACAGACCTTCTGCAGCTGATTCAGTGCTCCATGACAAGATTGTTAAGTGAGATTTAAAAAAAAGAAAACCCTGAGTATCTTTTGGAGTTGATTGTAAAATTCTCCGAATTATAAGCCGTACACAGACAGAGACCCCGTCTGTATGGCTGATTTACCATTATGTTAGACCCACAGAACAGCTGCTGAATGCAGTGCAGCAGTTAGCAGCTAAAGAGCCAGATATTTCCCTCAGGAGCTAGAAGAGAGGGAACTGATCTGGTGACACAAACACAACTTTATGAGGTGATAATACGTCATTATTGTGTTTTCAGTTTGTTGCAATGGTGCCAAATAACCCCCTTTCACTTAAGTAAAATATTGAATTAATGATTTTACTTTTAATGGAATATATTTATTGCTGCCTTTACTCCAGTTTCATATGTTGTGTTTTGCAACTGTTAACTGGCTAAAGAAATGATTCAAAGCTCCATATTTTCTTCTTCTCCTGTGTTTTATTTGACGTGTTGATCCATAAGAAGATGTATTTTTGGTTTTAAGAACCAAAAACCATCTCAATGTAGTTTTACATCTCCACTATCAGGCTTCTCTCTGGAGCTCTAGTAACAACAGGTCAGTGAGCCAATCAGAAGAGAGGACGCGCTGAGCCTCTCCTCTGATTGGCTGACTGTTTTCTGAGTGATTTAATTAAAATATAGCAGATTTCAGATAAACACTGGTTTTAAGGCTCAGTTTCTGAAAACAGGCTGTGTGCATTTCTCTGTGGACTGAGGCTTTGATACTTTCACAGTATTAATATAGAACCTAGACCTGCTTTATAATCACACAACACATGGACATCTACCTTTAGACTATATGGGGCTTTAATGCTAAATTTAAAAAAAAACTAACTAAATTAAATATTCACACAAACTCTTATTCACATAGTAAAAACAGTTGCATTTATGAGATTATGACTAAAAATAAAATGGTTGTAAATTTCATAGCCATCTCTCAACATGTTGTATTAATCCAGCATAGTACTGGAAGATTGTCTCAGGGATGGAGCTGCAGCAGACATGTAGATTTCATTTGGCCCATTTGTTTCTCACTGACTTACACACTCAAAATCCCCAATAACAGATGGTGACTGGTACAGAGTAGTAAGACTACATGCAACTGTGTTAGAGACAGGGCACAGTAAAGTAGAGCTACATGTCCATACTGTCATTAAGTCTCTTTAACTCACTCCACACTGTGCACTAATGTCTGGCTCTATAACACTGACCCTCTCTGTTTCTTCTGCTTATAGAAGCAGTTTGTCCATTTCACCTAAATCCTGACTATTAATCCTCTGTGTGATATGGGAAGCAGGCTAGCATTCATGCTCTGTGATTCTGTATGAGATGAGTCAGCAGGAGGATTATACAGCCATGCATGTATCAGAACTATAGCAGCTTTAAGGTGACAAACCCCATTTCAAATGTGCAGGAGAGATTTGTGTATAAATGAGCGAGGAGTATGATCCTCAGTGGCTCCATTTACCTGTCAATATCATCAGTGGACGACAGCCTGGGTCACCATGTGATCCTAAGATTTTGTTTATGTTTTCAAATCAGCTGTACAATAACTGATCACTGTTTCCTCCTTTACTTTAACATAAATGTTGTCCTTTCTACACCTGATTGGACAAATGTAGCATTTGCTGAGATGTCATTGGTAAAGCCAGAGGCGAACCATCAGGAGACGCAAAGAAATACTTTGTGCCCCCAGGCACATTTTGCAATGACAACTATAAACCCCCTTAAACCTCCCATGCAGATACTAAACAGTGCACTGATGTTGCCCCAAACCCCCCTAAGTGGGGGCCCTTGATGATTGTACTGTAGCTAGCATTTAGTGATCTGCATGTGAGGCATTTAGGGGACATCTGTAAATTGTAGTTTTCTGCAGATAGTCTGCACTTCACCAAAATGAGTTTAAACCACTCTAAAGAGTGACAGTTCTGAGTAACACCATTAGTTATGGGATGGAAAACAATGGAGCTGGTGTTGATATTGTTACTGAATGTTGAATCCACATCTCTGGCAGAGATGTGGATTCAACATTCAGTAACAAGGATTGGGTTTGTTGTAGTCGTGCTTGTGATGATGTGATGATACCACATTTACTTGACCAGCCACAATCAGCAGCACTACAACATGATTGTACCGGGATCTTGGACCTTTGGAAACCCATGTAGAACATGTGACAATGGCTGTATTTCACATCTGGAAAAGAGTTGATAGTGTCTATACTTGGACAGGTCCTGTGGTCCATATGTTCATAATAAAGAATATTTAGAAATATTTAACCTGTGTGGTTTTTCAGCTCATCATGACTAAAGCCTCTGGCTCCTTGTTGTGCAGGACGGACGTCTGAGGCCTGGAGATCAGCTCATTGCCATTAACAAAGAGTCGTTGATAGGTGTGACCCACGAGGAGGCCAAGAGCATGCTGAACAAAGTCAAGTTCAGGTGGGTGCTGCAGGGATTAGATATGAATTGCTCATAGAGTAACTCAAAGTGAATCTCTGTAGAAACAGTGAGTACAGTCAGCTACTGTTCCACAATCTTTCCTCTTCCCTCTGTACCTGTAAAGATCACTGTGTACATGCTCATGTCTTTGTATGTATTGTGTCTCCAGCCAAGACAGCACAGTGGAGATCGCCTTCATCCCAGGTAAAGGACTTTTTCCAAGCAGCACGTCCCTCCACAACGGAGTCCAGCGAGCTGCGGGGAACAGCTACAACTCTGGACGTTTAAAAGTCCACATCAGATCACCTGAGGTCAGCTCGCCAATACACAAGTACTGGACATTCTGTCACTTGATTCAGTGATTTCATAGCAATTTATTGCAACAACAAGTGTGGGAAAGCAGAAGTAGAAGCATTTCTGACTGAATCAAAAATAATCAGGCTTCTGTTTCCATAACACATCTTAGACTCATGTATCAGCTCAGTACAGAAGCCTAATGCAGTCACATTTTCTAGAATCATTTTTGTGGAAAAAAATTCTGTTTTTCTGAATTAATGATCATTATTTTTTATCTCAGAAAAGCAAGAGCAGATGTTTTTTTGGTGGCAGAGCTGAACAGAGCTGAATCTATAGAGGACTTTTTCTTAGTTAATACACTCGAATAATAATTCTATTACTGACTTACATACTGACTTACTTTTATTTAAGTTTAAGATGATCAGTGAATAAACTGAGAAACTTTCATTTCATTTATTTAATGTAATTTACTTACATTTTATTTTATTTAACTGTTTATTCATCTTGTGTTTAAATGCATTAATAAGCCCAAATTTTTTGATTAAATTTAATTAATAATTAATCATTGATAGACAAAATAAGAAAATAGAGTTATTGATTTGCAAAACTGATTGAAAAAGTTTTTTATATTATTTCCAATACATTAGTAGATTGTGATCAGTTCAAAATTTTATCATTCACTTCTCTTGGAACATCACTGCATTATTGCCCAGCAAATCATTAATATCTATCATTTCTTGGTTGTCATCATGTCATCATTACATGTTTTTTCACTTTCTTTTTTCAAATGTATTTGTGTGTGCAGATTTGTACAGAGGAGCCGGCTCCAGTGTCCTCCCCTTCTCCTGACATCTGCCCACCAGATATTCAGATTTCAGGTACAACACCTCACTACACCACTACACGCACACACACACGCACGCACGCACGCATACGCGCACACACACGCACACACACACACACACTTTACTTTGATTTCAAATCAAAATCCTCCCTCTGCTTCTGCTGCTCAGAGCTGTGTGGGGCAGATTGAGCTGTTGATTCACAGTGAGATTGGTAGTACTTACAATCATGTCACATTTTACTTTAAAGGAAAGGTCTGGCAGTATTCTTTTACTTTTCTTCTTGTCATTGATTCCCACACCAATCCCAATGTGGGTAGGGAAATAAATAAGGCATGTGTCGATGTGTGAAACAGTGCTACTCCTCTTCAAGCAACATCACAACCTTAATATATATTGGTGATTCAAAATGAAGAGAAATGTTACAACAGTAAAATATTGTTTATAACATACACTATGATAGTACAGCAGTAATAGGGAGTGTATGTTCAATTATCCAGTATTTTTATATCGCAGTATTATGAATCTTTCCTCTGGTGCTGTCCTTGGTGCCTCAGTATATCTAATGTTATCTAAAATTGTGTCCATCTTATCTTTTCCTACTGAAGATCCTTTCTCCATCCAGCTCCAAATTGTCATCAGTGTGGTTCTTGTCAGAAGATTTTCACTTGTTCACGTAGTATTTGTAGTGGTGTGAGCTGTGGAGCTCAGGGGTAATGGAACATCAGTAAGAGTCCTTTGTTCCTGTAGTTTGGGTGTCACCTCTCCCCAGGATCACTGCAGATTTAAATTAATTTGAATCAAGTTTATTTATAAAGCACAAGGAAAACAATCAGAGTGCTGTACAATAATATGCAACGAGAAACACACAACATAATAACAGCTATAAAATGTGAAGTCTTAATTATCCCATAGTCAGTTTGAAAATAAAACAGAGGGGATAAAAGTGAAATATAAAAACCTTAGGGACACTCAAAAGCCAAAGAAAAGATGCAAGTTTTAAGTTTAGACTTAAAAATGTCCACAGAGGAGGAACACTTCATTTGAAGAGGTAAATTGTTCCAAAGTTTTGGGGCAGATACTGCAAAAGCCCAATCACTCTTTCCCCTTAGCCTGGACCAGGGGACAGCCAGGAGCAGCTGGTCCAAACATCTGAGGGGTCTGGGGTTGGAAAGGAGGCAGAGGAGCTTAGAGATGGATTCAGGTGCCTAAAGCTAAAGTGTTGACTTATATCCTTCAAATTATTGACAGAGAGGAATGGTTCGAGTTTGGCGATGTTTCTTAGATGGAAATAGCAACCTTTCACAACAGTGTTGATTTGTTTGTCAAATGTTAGGGCTGAATCAAACATGACACCAAGATCTTTGGCCTGAGCAAGAAGGTGAGGGGCCTGGGGTCCTAAGAGATGTGCTACACTCCTGGTGGAGTCAGGGGGACCAAACAAGACCACTTTAGTCTTTCTAACATTTTATTGAAGACAGTTATTTGCCATACAATCTTTCACATCCTGGAGGCAGTCGAGGAAAGAGCTAACTGAGTTAGTAATAGCATTATCACCAGGTTGTAAGGGGAGGTATAGCTGAGGGGTTGTCAGCGTAGAAATGATAGGAGATGTTATATTTTTGGCAGATGGAACCCGAGGGGAGCAAGTATGAGGAAAACACAATAGGCCTTAAAATGGAGCCTTGAGGTACTCCACATGTGATGGGGCAGATAAGGAGAAGAAATTTCCAGATTTGATAGAAAAAGATATATCTGTCAGGTATGAGGCAAACCACTGCAAGCCCTGCCCTGTTGCTCAAGATGGTTCAAGAGGATAGTATTGTCCACTATATCAAAGGTGGAGCTAAGGTCTAGCAGGATTTATAAGGTGAAATTATTTAAAGCTGAGGTATCAAGGTTAGGTTTTTTGATACAGGGATGAACTGCATGTTTAAAGCAAGAGGGAACAGAGCCAATGGATAGGATAAGATTGTGGGACCTACAGTGTCAAACACTTCCTTCAACAGGTGAGTGGGAATAATGTCCAGGGGGCAAATAGCTGGCTTTGTATGTAGAACTATGTCTTTAATATGAGCAAGGGACACAGGCTCAAAGTTTCTTTGGACAGCAGAGCAAGGAGGGAGGACATTGGGAGAAGGTGGAATATGAGATTGGATGTTTTCAAGTGTATGTTCAAGTTTATGTCTCTCTGTGTTTCTTTGTCAGAGGCTTTGGGATGCTGCTGGTTGTAAGACACTGTGAGACACTGTGAGAGGCTGTGAGAGGCTGTGAGACACTGTGAGAGGGTGTGAGACACTGTGAGAGGTTGTGAGAGGCTGTGAGACACTGCGAGAGGGTGTGAGACACTGTGAGAGGTTGTGAGAGGCTGTGAGACACTGTGAGAGGGTGTGAGACGCTGTGAGAGGTTGTTAGAGGCTGTGAGACACTGTGAGAGGGTGTGAGACGCTGTGAGACGCTGTGAGAGGCTGTAAGACACTGTGAGAAGACATATATGATGACCTTCACATCATTGACAGAGAGGAATGGTTTGAGTTTGGCGATGTTTCTTAAATGGAAATAGCAACCTTTCACAATAGTGTTGATTTGTTTGTCAAATGTTAGGGCTGAATCAAACATGACACCGAGATTTTTGGCCTGAGCAAGAAGGTGAGCAAGTATGAGGAAAATAAAAGGAAGAGATTTAACAGGGTGCTCATGATGTCTGTGGAAAGCTCTGCTCTAAAGACTGAAGTCAGGGAACAAAAATCTCCTGTTTGGAGGTTACATCACAGATTACTGTACATAAAAGACTACTAGACAGGTGGGTATGTTCTGTACACCTGTATACATGCACCACTACATTCGTTCATTCATTTTACATACATACATACATTCATTCATTTTGACTCTATTCCACAACCACTGTCATGCTGCCTGGATGACTTACTACAGTCCCTAACAGATGCACTGTTTCCCCCTGTCTGAGTAATGTCTGTTATACACTACAGTGACCACCTGGACACTACTGAACCTTTATTAATGAATATCTCTTTTTTAAGATTTATATAATATATAGAGAAAATATATAATGATACATGTTCATTGTCACTGCTCTTTGGTAAACACAACCTTCCTTCACCATGTCTGTCATGTGTTTAACAAAGCAGCACTGCCATTAAATAACCTTTAAAGGACTATTAAACACCTGCCAAATCAGAGCTGAGATTTTCAGTGATTTGTCCCAGAAGTACCTCAAATCAGACGTACGAGATAAACCCGGCTGATCAAGAATGAAAAACGGGGAACATTTGCTCCCTTACAGAGATTGGGGATTAGGTAGAGAGGAGAGGATAGGATTTAAATGAAACCACAGCACAGTAGGGGACCTACGAGTGCACAGGAATTTGAGGGATCATGACAAAGTCCTGTCTTAATAACAGTGGCTATAGTACGTCATTGTTTTCAGAAACTGAGTCTGTGTTGGAGAGAGAGAAGACAGAATTAAGAAGCAAGAAAAATGTATAAGGGAGTAGAAAACTGTTTTAAAGCTGGACCAGAATATGAGTTCACTTGGACGGTTCTCAGTTTTCAGTTTTGGGATTCAGATTTTCCTCTATTCTATTATTGTCAGCACATTTGCTCTATTTATACTTTTGCCTGATTACACTGACCCCAGACGCTCCACTATTTCACTCGCCCTGTCACATGCACTGTGATCTATTAACACTAGTTGAAAAGTCAACTGCCTAAAGTTTCACAGTGTACCTCGCCTTGTATCTCGTGAGCATGGAGGCGTGCGTGGCTGTCACCTGACACTTTATAATTCATTGGCGGGAATACTGCTCCTTCCTACTGGAAACTTTCAAGAGTATACTGCTCTATCTAACAATTACACATGTTTAGTAAAAGAAAAGGTATTAATGAATAAGAAACCGAATAATGTGAACCAGACCAGCAGCTCAGATGTTAAGGGTGTCTGTGGGCCCCGGCTCAGAGACAGTCCCAATCCTATTGGCCTGGATTATCACAGCTAACGTTATTTCCTAGGTGCTGTGACCACTTAGCTCCCCTCCAGGCTCCTATTGGTTTAGCCAGGTGGTGTCTGTGACAGATGTCAGCAGTTTGTGGTGAGGTGAGCAGACACACAGAATGACAGGACATCAGTTCTGATTGTTTCCAAAATTCAGTTGGAGCTCATGTGGAGGCAAGGAAGCAGTCAGCTGTTATATTTAAACCGAGTCAGTTTAAATACAACTCTACATACAGCTGCTCCTAGTCTCTCTCCATCACTTCTCTCTCCTCAGTTTCCCTCCTCTCAACTTTATATAATTATAATATTGTAAGGTCCTGACCTGACTCTGTATAGAGCATTGAGAAAATGTGTGTTATGGTTTGGTTCTATATAAATAAAACTGAATTGAATCTTAAGTTGAGAGAAAAAAAAAGACAACAAAAAGACATTTCTCAGAAAAAGTCCTCGGTTCTTGGTCTTCAGCCTTCACCTCCTCCACCCACTGATGACATGGGCCATACACACAAATGCTTTCACACCTGACTCGTGAAGCCATGACAAAAGCTGGAGACAGTTTTCAGCAGTTAAACAAAGTCATTTATGAGGTGAGATGATTTAAACACATAAGAAAAGCACAGGAACACATGGAGCGTGGGGGGCCCAGTGGAATCAGGAGTGTTGGATGTGCATGAGAGCGGAGACGGTGTGTGAGTGTGAGGAAAGAACTGAACGGGAGCTAAAGCAGCAGCAGCAGGAGCACTGGGCCCAGCGCTCCCAGTTGGCCCCGCCCACCAGGCATCTGAACCACAGGCAGACAAAAACCAGATCAGCAGATTGGGCAGGGGTCGTCACAACGCTCATGTCCTTGAGTCAGCTGACCACACTGACAACATGACCTCCCGTCCTGCTGGCCCCCGGCCTGATGCCTAGCAGGGGGACAGGTCGTCAGAGGCGTTCAATCCTGTTAGGGAGATCAACTCACCTGTGACAATATGTGTAAAAGCTGTTAGCACGCACCTGTTATCACCTGACACTAAACTGACTCACTTCCGCTTACAGCAGCAGCAGATCATAAAACAGTCTCACATCAAGGTTCATTTAGTTGCTGTTCTGGAGCTTTTGAGCATCATCACATCATCATCATCATCATCATCATCATCTTCATCCACAACAGCTTCTGAATGAATGTTGAGAGCCAAAAAGATTCAGAGGCAACACCATGCTCAGTGTGTGTGTGTGTGTGTGTGTGTGTGTGTAAAACCTCTGAGGTAACTCCTCACATTTTATTTTGACATTCACATATGTATTGTACAGCCACGAATGTTTGGTTCACATAAAGAAATAACATATCTGACTCTTGTTTTGTTTCCCTACTTCAAGTGCAGATATAGAAACACACCTACTGTATACACTGTCTATACTAGTATAACAACAGAGTATGGGGACTGGTATCTGGGTTTAAAGCACAGCTGTTGTCATGACAGCAGGTCTGTCAATCATCACCACCGGGCAGGGGGAGCGGGGGTGGTTGGGTAGGGTAAATCCTTTGGGTAACAGCAACAGGGGGTGTGCAGACACACACACTCACAGACACACACTCAGAGGTCGCCATCACCACAGCAAGCAGACATGCAAATCTGGGGCATTCAAAGTCATCAAATTAATATTAGGCCTGGGCTGTCTGCCCCCCTCCCCCCTCACACTGTTTTCCCTCACTCTCATCTATATAATCATCCACCTTTCTCCCCCACTCCTCTCTTTTTAATCATCTGCTTTTCATCTTCCCCTCCCACCCCCCACCCCCATCCCACACTCACACACACCTCCCCTATCACCACAGCTACCCACTTCCACCAAATCCACAGAGAATGTCTGTCCATCCACTCTGATAATACAGATTATCCAATGAAATTTCTCCTTCTGTTGTTTACTAGGTGTACTGTTGCCTCACATACACTCGCCTCACTCTGTTGAAGGCCTATAGCTCCTGGTGCCATACCTCACACAGACACTGTACTGTAAATATATATTTACATGTATGTTTTGTGTATAGACTGTTTTTCCTCCTGCTCATTTTCCCCTTTCTCTTTGAGAATAATCAACCATATTTTTTCCTCTTTTCTCCTCCCTCCACCCTCCTTGCTCCTTTTCTTGTTTCTTTGTGACTTTCTCCAGGTTCATCCAGCCAGAGGTCGCCAACGGAGGCCAAACCGAAGATAACACTGGACCCTTATATACGCCTCAAATCAGACAAGTTAGACTTGGTGAGTCCTGTCTGCTGGTCAGACAAGCTGTTTCAGAGCCATGCTGCTAAATACATTCCTCCTGGCACGTGATGTTGAGCGTGTTTTGAGCAGTTTATTCAAGCTGTGAGGTGTTGTTCCTGCTTTAGGTTGAATTACCCAGACAAGCACATTAATCCTCCTCTGCTCGTCCACCTCTCTCTCTCTCTCTCTCTCTCTCTCTCTCTCTCTCTGCCTCCTCTCTGTCTCTCTGCTTCATCTTTAACCTCTTGATGCACATTCACTAACAGGTCCTTTATGTTTGACTGATGAAGGCTCCAAAGTGTCAGTGAGGGCTAATGTGTTAAGAATAATTTTTACAATTTTCATGCTGCATAACGTAAGGTGAGAGCAATAACCATCACGTTTATGCTTGAACATATGACTGCACTGATGGGAATCATTGCTAACAAATAATCTATTACCAGACTAAGGCCTTGAGTTTCTCAGCAGTAATAGATGGATATCACCATAGAGGTTTTCATCTAGATGCATGAGTATATAGAGTAAAAATTATTTTAGTTTGTTATCCCAAGATAACAAGATGTTATCAGGAGGGAATTATTTTATAAGCTGCTATAATTATGTATGCACCTATTAATGGGAAAATGACATCAGCTGTCGTACAATCCTAAAACAGTTTTATGTTCAATTTAATTCTAAAACTTACAAACAAGATGGCAGATGGAATGAACAATAGACTGATGGCTTAGCTAAAATCAGACCCTTACCAGTAGTGGGGCTAAAACTGTGAAGGCTATGGGGGTCATTTGATGTAAAAAGGTTTATCCTCTGGAGACAAGAAATGTAAATGTGCATAGTGAGTTTAAAGTCAATCTGTTTGGTGTGATGGCAGCACATCATCCCCTGGCTACCATAAATGTCCATACCAGTGAGTATGTGGATGAACAGCTTTCCTCCTGAACATATTCCCTCACTGATAATGATGATGATGGTGGAGAGCTCAGTCTGATACAGGTGTTCAGCTGGGTTGCGATCTGACCACAGTGAGCCTCCTGTCCTGTTGCTTTTGTTCTGTATCAACACTCATTTATTTAGGTTTGTGAAAGCTTTGATTAACTCGGTTTCAGCTGTTTCACAGCTGTAGCACTTTTGCGCTCCATCCCTGAGCTCTCTCTTCATCTAATTATTGATCTCTCTCTGCTCGCCCTATCACACTTGCAGTATTCATTAGTTATTTTTTTATTATTTATTTTTACCCTATCAGCACATTCTCCCTCTGCTCCTCCTCTCACCCCTGCCGTCCAGCTTCCCATCCCTCTGCTCTCTCTTTCCCTCTGCCTTGTTCTTTGGCTGCCCGTCTCTGCCCTCTGGACGGTTTTGTTTCCACTATTCAGCTCTGATTTTAATATTGTCCGGATCCTCCTCAGCCATAGGTTGACCCTAATCTACCAATTCATTAACAGGATTAGAGAGACAGGGAGTTTAAATGTTGAATACAGGCACAGTTCTCTCTTGGCTTCTTTACAAATGCAAAATAGAGAGAGAGAGAGAGAGGGAGGTGGATTATGGATATTTTTAGCTTTGAGAGATACTGTAATAGGTGAGTAAATGTCACAAAGGACAAAATGACAATGAAAGAGAAACAAACACTGCTGAACAGAAGTGTTGAGCAGGATACAGTATTTGGTTGTTGGCTCACATTGAGAAAGAAGGCATTTCTGCATATTATTGAATATGATCCTTGTTTAAAGTTCAGACAACAGCTGTGAGGAGGACTGAATGTTGTAGTGTATAGAGGTTCAGTCTTTTGTCACTGCTATAAAGATTGAAGGTGTCTGTAAGTTCCACTGTCACTGTGAATTTGCATATTTAGCTAAATATTTAGTTTCTCCAAAAATTTGATTTAATATTTAGATTTAAAATTAATATTTAAATGTAGATACAACATCTAGATTTAAATTTAACATTGTTACACCCCAACCTTGGGTGGGCCTAAGGGATACACAACAGTCCACCAGTGACCCAAATGAGTCTCACAAGAAACCTCTAACACAACAAAGTCCATAGAGTTTATTTAACATAAATATACAAAAAAAACAGAACACTAAATTAAGACACAACAACGAAAACAACAACCAACTAAAATCATCCTCCTCCACTCAGACTAGTTTCAGGTAACATCCCTGTTTATCCAGAGTCATAGAAAATACTGTGTGAACCATTTGTGTGAAATTTTGTCATAATTGCTGTGAAGTCTTGAGTAATGGCTAAAAAGGGTTTTGTGAGGTCACCGTCAAAGGGCCAAGGTCAAGGTGACCTCACAAAACACTTTTTAGCCATTACTCAAGGATTTAACTGAATTTTTTTACACTAAATTAAAATGAAAATGAAAATGTCGCTGACACACACTCACAGTGTGTGACAAATCCTCCCCCCACAAAGGTTTTGTTGAAACTGATTCACAGAGGTGTCGATTCAACACTCATTTTAAAGGATGTAGTTGTAGCTGCTGTTGATTTGTATTGTTACACTAATCCAACCTATGTATATCAATAGCTCTCAGTAGGCCATGTACTGCAGTTTGATGACAGTACATATATGTACAGTAGTTCTTCTTCTTCAAGTGATTCCAGTGGCTCATGGTAAAAATATCTCTATGTCTCTGTGCCTTTATTTCCTTTGTCTCTGTCTGTCTCTCTCAGGCCTTGTCTTTCCTCGGGTTGGACATCACAGAAGAGAAGAGGAAGAAGTTGAGACAGAATCTGACCACAGACCCACAGGGCACCGTGGCCTATGGAGGTGAAGCAGACTTGCAAACACACACATACACACACACACACACACACACACAAACACACACACACACACACTGAAACAAGTCACACACCTATCGGGTTGACTCCACAGCAAGGTAAAAGATCTGTGTTGAAATCCTGTCAAATCACATGCTCTGTGTGATGGCTGCATGTCACTGACTGGTTGTGTCACTTGTATACGGTGTCAGATTTTGTAACCATGAAGCAGCTGTGTCTGTTTGTGCAGCAATACTGCAGGCAACAGTTCATAAATGTTATGCATATAAAAGCTGTAAAAATATAAATCTTGGAAGTTTAATAAATGGTTTATATTTCATTCATATCATATCATAAATGTTTCCTATCATAATTTCTCGTTTTTCCATATCTACATATAGGAATGCAAGTGATGTATTGATCAAATAACTGCTAAAATTCACATTTGGACTTTTCACTCAGAAGTCCAGATGGTTTAGTCATTTCAGTTAGATGCAGATAAACTTTTGAAACAAGAAAGTCAACGCCATGTTGTGTAGGTTGCTATTCTGAAATGCAGACAGAAGAATCTCACAGTGTTTGAGCCAGATGAGCCCTTAATAACCAGAGGCATTGGTATGTGTAACCATATACAGGTCATTAGAGAGCTGATATTTAATATTCTGAATGTTGCTGAGCTTCAGAAAATTGCAACATTTCACCACCTCCTGAACTGAAGTGTTTTTCTGTGACTCAGTAAAGATCCCAGAGTCTCCTCCTGCTGCTGTGAACCCTGCATTGTCTTGTCTAAATGCACCACACATAAAGTCTGACCCCACTGCTTCTTTGAACTCAGTCTACTCTGTCCTTAATCCTTCAGTTCTATTCCTTTAAATATTAGGCACAGACTAGAGCTAGAGGTGAGTGTGGAGAGAATGAAGGCAGTGTAGAACAAAGCTTCCTTTGGGTCTTGGAATGTACGTCTTTCACCTTACTTGGGTTGTAAGATTTTTGGCTGGACCACAACAGCAGGGCCAGTGCTATAATTGACTGACTGACTGACTGATTCACTGACTGACCGACTAGCTGAATGACCGACTGACCAACTGACTCATGATATTTCAACACTGGTCCACAGAGTGCTGAGCCGCAGTCTACTGAGCCACTCTGGTTGCCTGGCTCTTGCATTTGGTGTCTCTTGCATTTGGCATCTTCACATCTTGCCAACTTCACTAAAGCACCTTGCATTCAGTAGAGTTGTAGTGAAACCTGAGCCTCATCACCGTGTTACCGTATATCACAGAGGGAAAAAAAGAATAGAGCAATTGAACCGGACAAACTTGGTGTTGTTTGAAAGGCCTCATTAAAAAATAGGTTCCTTCAAAATGTCATGCCCTTAGTTGCTTCAAACTGAGCCATTACACAGACAGACACTTGCATTAGAAGTACCACAATTAAAAAACTATGGGTCTTTTTGAATGATCCTCTGGCAAGAGATATTCTTGATACCACTAAAGTCCTATCTGTTGAATTAGCTGTTTTATGTCAGTAGTTGATTGCACAATATAGGGTTTGGCCCTAGCCAGATGTACTAGAACAAATACACATCTGCAATGAAAAATCTGCTGAATCTCATAATTATTTGTTTTTGATTCCCAAATCGTATTCAAAGCCAGCAAAACTGTGGAGAGCAATGAATTCTCCAAGTCTTCCCTCCCACTTCCTCCTCTGGTCACAGCTGATGTCAAGTAAATTTTATTTGTATAGTGACAATTCACAACATTAGTGGTCTCAAGGCACTTTCCAAATAGAGCAGGTTTAGACCTCTCTTTATAATAATATTTACAGAGACCCAACAATTCCCACCAAGAGCAAGCACTAGGCAACAGTGGCAAGGAAAGACTTCCTTTTAAGAGGCAGAAACCTCGAGCAGAACCGAACTCAGGGTGGGCGGCCATCTGCCTCAATCAGGTATCCAACAGCAGACCATACAGAGATCTGTGCATCTGCTAATGATGTGTTTGGTGGAACTTACACAGGACCCCCTCTGCCCACTGTTGATCAGAACCTAACTAATGCCAAGCTTATTTTACTCCTACAGCTGCTCTCTTCTGGTGATGTGACCGATGCATTACTATAAATTTATAGAGTTTGGTGGACCAAGATTGCTTGTTGCTCCAACTGTAGCTACATAACATATATTTCTAACCTTTACGTTTTAACAATAATAATAATAATGATAATGATTTATTTAAATTTATCTAAATTAATTTAAATTAATTATAAAGGCAGCAAAAAATGGAATCAATAAAATCAATTAAAACAATCAGGTGTATAAAAAGCAAAACAGAGTCATTTTAAGAGAAATAAAACAATTCAAGGGAAAGTAAAACCAGCAAAAGCTCTTTGATAAAAGTATATTTTAAGAAGAGTCTTAAAGGAGGTTACGGACTCAGCCGAACTTATATCCATATCATTCCAGAACCTCAGGGCCCTCACTGCAAACACTCTATCCCCTTTAGTTTTCAAAAAGTAATCAATAAAATCTTAAAATCTATTCTCAAACTTACTGGGAGCCAGTGTAAGGAGGCTGAAACAAGAGTGATGTGGTCACATGTCTTTGTTCTGGTTAAAAGCCTAGCAGCAGAGTTTTGTACAATCTGGAGATGATCAATAGATTTCTGGGTGAGGTGTGTAAATTAATTTCTGTGTCTTTCAAAGTTAAAAAAGATTTTATTTTGGAAATGTTTCTAAGATGGTAAAAAGATGATTGTGATGAGTGGTGGCCTGATATCATCTGACAGCGATCCAGCAGATTTTAACAAGGGCTGGGATTTATAGTAAATAATCAGCCTACATCATTCCTTTCAGCACATTCTATTCTAAGCATCCACCAATCAGGTTTCAGAGAAAAGCACAGTACTGTTAATGCCGCCTCTTTAAAATTACATCATCTCAACTTTGGAAAATAAGAAACACTGTTCAACTTTTTTTATTCATCTATCAAAGGTATTTGATACCATTGATCATGCACTGAAACCATTTGTCAGTCCTTTCTTTCTAAAATGAAAAATGAGTTTCCTCATGGACAGACAGTAATGAATGTCTGTATGATAAATCTTTGGTGTCCCACAAGGCTCAATCCTGGGACCTCTTCTGTCCACTCTCTACACTGATGACATTACAGAAGAATTTCTGTAACTACGTGGAATCTAAATCTTTATGCTGATGATACTGTATTTTAGATGCTGCACACACTGCTGTTAATTCCCTGCAGTGAACCAATGATTAGTTCTTAACACAGATCAAATAAATTCATCCTCATTTGTATCCTTAGGGCAGTTAAAGTTTTGGATTTTATCTCATTTCACCTCCATTTTTTCTCGTTTAAATTGATTAATTCGTTTTAAATTTGAATTGCTTTATTTATTCTTCAAGTTTAACTATTTTACTCATTTGTGTTTTTATTATTTTTACTTATTTATCCTGGTTTTATCTAACTTATTTTTTTACTTTACAATGTTCTTAATCATCTTAGACTTCACATTAACTTTGATATAGTTATTAAAACTCTCCAGTTGTTTCAGCAGTGTAGATGAGGTGTAAGGAAAAAGACTATGCATTGTTGCATAAACTGAAAGTAGAGGAGAGCAAAGTTAACACAGTTGTGTATTCTGTGTCTGTGTGTTTCCTGGTTGCCATGGTTACTCTGGTTTTCCCACAGTAAACATTTTTCTTTCTGTATCTCTCTGTTGACTCTCAGACTTTGTAGAGGCGACCCGGAGTGTCTTCCAGGAGAACCTCGAGGAGCTGGGTTTAGGGTCAGGTCCCTTCATGTTCTCCTATCATGAAGCAGCCAGTCTGATGGACACATCGGCCTTCCACTCACCTGTAAGCTGCAGCCACACCCTCTCATAGCCTCTCACAGCCTCTCACACCCTCTCACAGCCTCTCACACCCTCTCACAGCCTCTCACAGCCTCTCACACCCTCTCACATCTTCTCACAGCCTCTAGCAGTGTCTCACAGCATCTCACGCCCTCTCATGCCCCCTCTCATGCCCCCTCTCACGCCCTCTCACATCTTCTCACGTCTTCTCACACCCTCTCGCAGCATCTCACACCCTCTCACACCCTCTCACAGCCTCTTACACCCTCTCGCACCCTCTTGCACCTTTTCACACCCTCTCACACCCTTTCACAGCATCTTACACCCTCTTACAGCCCCTCACAGCCCCTCACACCCTCTCGCACCCGTTCACAGCATCTTACACCCTCTTACAGCCCCTCACAGCCCCTCACACCCTCTCTCACCCTCTCACAGCCTTGTATACCCTCTCACACCCTCTCACAGCCTTGTACACCCTCTCACAGCCTCTTACAGCCTTTCACAGCCCCTCACACCCTCTCACAGCCTCTGGCAGCCCCTCACACCCTCTCACACTCTCTCACAGCCTCCCACAGCCTCTTACACCCTCTCACACCCTCTTGCACCCTCTCACACCCTCACATCCTCTCACAGCATCTTATACTCTCTTACAGCCCCTCACAGCCCCTCACACCCTCTCACACCCTCTCACACCCTCTCGCAGCATCTCACAGCATCTCACACCCTCTCACAGCCTCTTACACCCTCTCACAGGCTCTCACAACCTCTCACAGCCTCTCACAGCCTCTTACACCCTCTCACAGCCTCTCACAGCCTCTCACAGCCTCTCACAGCCTCTTACACCCTCTCACAGCCTCTCACAGCCTCTCACAACCTCTCACAACCTCTCACAGTGTCTCACAGTCTCTCACAGTGTCTCACAGCCTCTCACAGCGTCTCACACCCTCTCACACACTCTCACACCCTCTCACAACCTCTCACAGTGTCTCACAGCCTCTCACAGTGTCTCACAGCATCTCACAACCTCTCACAGTGTCTCACAGCCTCTCACAGCCTCTCACAGTGTCTCACAGTGTCTTACAACCAGCAGCATCCCAAAGCCTCTGACAAAGAAACACAGAGAGACATAAACTTGAACATACACTTGAAAACATCCAATCTCATATTCCACCTTCTCCCAATGTCCTCCCTCCTTGCTCTGCTGTCCAAAGAAACTTTGAGCCTGTGTCCCTTGCTCATATTAAAGACATAGTTCTAAATACAAAGCCAACTATTGCCCCCTGGACATTATTCCCACTCGCCTGTTGAAGGAAGTGTTTGACACTGTAGGTCCCACAATCTTATCCTATCCATTGGCTCTGTTCCCTCTTGCTTTAAACATGCAGTTCATCCCTGTATCAAAAAACCTAACCTTGATACCTCAGCTTTAAATAATTTTGCCTTATAAATCCTGCTAGACCTTAGCTCCACCTTTGATACAGTGGACAATACTATCCTCTTGAACCATCTTGAGCAACAGGGCAGGGCTTGCAGTGGTTTGCCTCATACCTGACAGATAGATCTTTTTCTGTCAAATCTGGAAACCTCTTCTGCCCCCATCACATGTGGAGTACCTCAAGGCTCCATTTTAGGGCCTATTTTATTTTCCTCATACTTGCTCCCCTCAGCTATACCTCTCCTTACAACCTGGTGACAATGCTATTACTAACTCAGTTAGCTCTTTCCTCGACTGCCTCCAGGATGTGAAAGATTGTATGGCAAATAACTGTCTTCAATAAAATGTTAGGAAGACTAAAGTGGTCTTGTTTGGTCCCGCCGACTCCACCAGGAGTGTAGCACATCTCTTAGGACCCCTGGCCCCTCACCTTCTTGCTCAGGCCAAAAATCTCAGTGTCATGTTTGATTCAGCCCTAACATTTGACAAACAAATCAACACTATTGTGAAAGGTTGCTATTTCCATCTAAGAAACATCGCCAAATTGAAACTGTTCCTCTCTGTCAATAATTTGAAGGATATAAATCAACATTTTAGTTTCCTCCCGGTTGGATTACTGCAGCAGCCTCTATCTGGGCGTCACCCGGTCCACCCTGTCTCAACTACAGGCAGTGCAGAACGCTGCAGTCAGACTGTTTTGTTTTGTTTGCAGTAGCTGCCACAAAACTTTGGAACAATTTACCTCTTCAAATGAAATGTTCCTCCTCTGTGGACATTTTTAAGACTAAACTTAAAACCTGCTTCTTTTCTTTGGCTTTTGAGTGTCCCTAAGGTTTTTGTCTTTGTGTGTGTGTGTGTGTGTGTGTGTGTGTGTGTGTGTGTGTGTGTGTGTGTGTGTGTGTGTGTGTGTGTGTGTGTGCAGACATATGAATCAGAATGCAGCTACAGCAGTGAGGAGATGGAGCAGTTTCAGACAGAGGTGAAGCAACTGCAGACCCAGATGAAGCAGCTCAAGGTGAACACACACACACACACACACACACACACACACACATATACAAAGTGATGTAGATGGATGAAGCTCATGTGACATTCAAACAGACACAACTGTATCAAACATTTGTAATTTACTATTAGTCACAGATTGTGTGCCATGTCTCTGATAGAAAGACAGGAAGGAGTGGATGGAGCACGCAGGACAAAAGCTAGTACTGAGTGCGTTTGATGCGATGTGGAAACCATCATCTGATGCTGAGATGTCGCAAAACGTTGTTGACTCTCCTCTTTCTTTTTTGTTAACACAACATGAGGTGAAGAATCCTCTCAGCTCCACAGTGTGTTTGGCTGCTGTGAGCAGATACTTCAGTAGGTGTGTGTCAGGGACTGAACTGATAGACCAGAGAGACACAGGTAGTTCTTTGAAAAATAATGTCCATTTTTTTTCTGGTCGGCTTCTCTGCAAGGCGGTCGTGGTCAGATGTGTTATCTGCTGATGTCTCTTGCAGGTTGATGCAAAACAAACTCTAATGCTCTTCACTTTGGCTGGATAACTTTAGAGGAGACTGGCGTTGACCAGTTGATAATATTTAAAAAGCTACAAAATTACTCTGAGGCACATCTGTTGTTTTTGTTCAGTTGGTCTTGACTTGGCTTATAAAATTAAAAGATTGCGCGTGTAGACAAAAAGAATGTTACTTGGAGCACGTGGCAAAGAAAGAATAAAGGATGTGGACAAAGCGATCAAGTTCAAAAATGGCTAAGAGCCATGGCAAAGACTTTGGAGCTATGCTACAGAGCCATTGAGCTGGGCTTTGAGCTGATGACTTAGAGGAATGTGTGAATTGATCACGACTGTTTTATCCCCTGGGGGCTGGCGCATGTTTCAGGGTTGTCACTCATCTTCTCCTGTGTTTCCACTTGGAGAATAGAGTAATTTTCCACTGAACTTTTGAATAGTTTAATTCTAGAGTTTACTTATAAACTCACACATCCGTCTTCCACCATGACCATAAAACATTAAATGAAACAACATATAAACCTAATGGCACTAATAATGACAGACAGGAGTAATACAAGTGTAGATTTCATATTACATCCTTCAAACCTGGAATTAATCATGATACAAGTGGTTAACTGATCAAACTAAAGCTAAAAGCTAATAGTCTATAAATGTGGATTACACAGCAGTTCTTTGACTGTAATAATAATATGGACATTCTGGATGTCATGTAGTGTGTGTTACCTGTGTGAAGGATGCTGACAGTATGGTCACATGAAGGACATTGTCTTAAAATCTACATGTTACATTTCAAACATTCTATGGGATAGAAGTTTGGGATTGAACTATTGCATAGGAACATCTCATGAGTTACAGAACAGCTAGATATTTAATTTTACATTCTTCCTCAGATCTGTGTCTGTGAAGAGAGTTCTGCTGGTCACTACCCAGGATTGGAATGTGGGTTGTAGTTTATGACTCTTATCTAGAGAAGGACAGAGGAAGGGAGGTTGGTGTGTGTGTGTGTGTGTGTGTGTGTGTGTGTGTGTGTTCATGCATGGCACAGAGAGGCTGTAACTCTGCATTTCCTTACAATGAAATTCTTTGATGGCTTGTGACTGATGCCAGGCCAGGTATGTACGCTACTTGCTAATAAAACTGTGTATGTTATATCAACCAAAACCTGTGTGGAATCATTGATCTGTAAGTTTCATGCTAAGAAAGGAAGACTCTTAAACTAAGTCGATAAAAAGAGTTCCCACTATGCCTTGGTTCAGTGTGAGGTTGCTGGTGCATCCATCACAGTGTGTTTGCAGTCCACAGTGTGAGTCGTAGATTCAGAACTGCAGAATGGCTGAGACTATGGAAGTGAAGGGAAAGCCCAGGCTCAGTTGGAAGACAGTGCACACTCGCCTCGTTGACCAAATGAAATACATCACTTTGAAGAGGGCTGAGGGAAATTTCTCTGTTATGTAGTCTGGTTCTTCCCAGCCAGTCCCAGTTAGGAGGGCTCAGACCCACTGGCCTGGTGATGGAGCTGTGAAATCCTCCTGGGCTTCATCTGCTGCCTCTCTTGGCAGGTGATGCTGAAGGACATGGAGCACAGCAAGAAAACCCTGGAGGAGGAGCTGCAGAAGACGTCAGAGGTGAGAGACGAGCCAGGACAGTGTCCACAGTGAGACTCTCAGCATGACTTTAGATGTTGGAACCAGTGAGACTTATTATTTTAATGATTTACTACAGAGCATTCTGTTGTCCTCAGAAAGCGTGTTTGACTGTGGAGGAAAACACCCGTCTGAAGAGTCGCCTGCAGGCAGCTGAGGCTGAGGCAGTGCAGCGGCAGACCAGCAGCGCTGAGCAGGACTACGAGGAGGTGATCCAGCTGCTGGAGGCTGAGATCAGAGACCTGAAGAACCAGCTGGCCAGCAAAAGGCAAGCACGAGTGGAAGCCACCAAGGTGGGTTTCAAACAGGTAATTAACTGTTTTAACCGTAAAAATTTTGTTATTTTATTTTCGACTTCTACTCTGAGGTTTCAGTTGCTTTGTAGATTCCAATTTTACATCAACAAATAACATATAATATATACATATAATCAACAACATATGAAGTAGTCTAACTTTGCATCAACCAGCTGCAACATTAAAGGCGGATTTCATGTTAATGCATCACTTATGATTATCCAATAGTATAATAGATAATAATATAAAACATTTTGCTAATAATACTTTTAGTACTTTTACTTAACAGAATTTTTAAAGGTAAAACGGTAAACAGCTGCTCTGTTGTTTCTACATGTGGCTCTGCTTTGGTAAAGGAAGGTCCAGTGTTTCCTCTGCTAAAGGAGATAATATAGGAAGCACTGAAGCGCCTTTCCTTATCATTTAGAGAAGAGAAGCTCTGAACATGATGCTGGTCAGATACTTCAGCTCATTTCACCTAGTTTGAACCTTCATAAGAAAAAAACACTTTTCAACCACAGCCTTGGACTCAAGATGAACTGATTAGATTTTGGTGGCTAAAGGTGGTGGTGGAAATCCAAAAATAAAGAGCTGACAAAATGATCACGTTGCCTTTGTGTATTTTAATAAAAAGCTTTGCAAAAAGTCATTATACAGTCACAACAGAGTGTAATTGCAGACTGATGTCGAACAAAGAGTGTACATGCACTTTATAGATGTGCATGTGATGTCATATTTTGTTTGACTCTGGATAAACAGGGATGTAACCTGAAAGTAGTCTGATTGGAGGAGGTAGACAACCACCAGGAGGTGATTCTAGTTTCTTATCCAGATTAGACATCCAGGTAAAGATCAGTATGTTAATACCAGGTGGAAGTTGAGCTGGTTCCAGTACCTATAGATACCCGCGCTGTAGGTTTTCATTCATCGTTCATTCGTCTGAATGTATGTTTCTGTTGGATGATATCACATCAATCGTCGGTGAAGCAGCTGTGTGTAGTTTGTAGCTTGCCACAGTTTGTACAGACTCAGACCCAGAACCAAGAGCTGACTGTGTGATTCCTTCTTCTGTCTTCCCTCCACCCTCCTCTGTCACGTGCCGGAGGCCTGCAGCTGGCTGCCTGCGTTTGTAGCCTCATCTCTGTAAAACGCATCGAGCCACATTTCCAACAGCCTGAGCCTCCGAGCTTCTCCTCTGTTCTCACCAGCTGCTTTGATGAAGAGGAGGCTTTATATTTGTTTCCTATGGCTCTGAGCTTACTGCCTCTCTACCTGTGGCTTTTCATCTCAGGTGGTAAATCCTCTGCTGCACACTGGCACAGAGCCTCACAGGAATCAGCTGTGAGACAAAGCAGTGCCCAGAGATGAAGAAGATAAGAGAATAATGGAAATGAGGATAGAGGTCTGAAAGCTCTTCACCAAAAAAATGACAGCTACTGCAACACATGGTCACATGGTCAGATGAGTTTAAATATGTCATCTGATCAACCACTACCTTCCTCCTTCTTCCCTCTTCTCTTTTATTCATTTCCTCCTTCCTTCATTTGTTCTCTTTCTCCAGACAGAGCAGATTCTGTGGAAATTCAAAAAAATCAAGTTGAAATATTGTAAAAAACATTTTTATGCTCAGATGGAAAGGTTAGTGCAACAATAAAACCAAAATGTGAATAAATGATGCAAGAGATGTTTAAGTTCCAAACATCTCTTAAACATGGAGCGATGATGAAGAGACTGGACCTTCCTCACATTAATATATGAAACAAACATGTTTTCCATCGAGCTTTGACTGGAGATCCGTTGTTAATCACCTCTTCTTCTTCAGTGGTTTAATGGTATCTTGTTCATCTAATATTCACACAACAGTAGCTGATGAGGATGTATGTCAATTTTCAAAACTTTCCACTATATTTGAAAACTTGAATAATAAAGATGCACCTGAGGCCTGTTTATGAACCTGAGTCTCCTTTCCACCACACCTCAACACATAGAATTAGTTTTGACTTCAGAGTTTCATCAGTATTGGTATCAGTATAGATAATGTATTGGTATTGTATCAGTATTGGTATAAGTATTGATATTGTATCAGTATCAGTATTGGTATTGTATCAGTATTGATATTGTATCAGTACTTGAAAATGCATGGGTGTTGATATCAGCAGAGACACAGTCTCCTTCCACTAAACATCTCTGCTTTACTCTGTGTTGTTACAGAGCAACTGTTCCACTGTACAGATACACTGGATATTGTATTTACAGACCTTTAGTTGGTTCACATGTCTCACAGTTACAGTGAAAACCATGTGTTCTCTAATGAGAACATGTCTTCTTCTTAAGCAAAATAAACCATTGGAGCTGAAACATGCTACAAGTGCACACACACACACACACACACATATTATTGAGTGGGCATGTCTGTGTGTGTTCGTCAGGAGGACGTGCTGGAGCTGAACAGGAGGCTGACGACCTTCGACTGTCAGCTGAGGAAGTCTGAGCTGAGCAGGAAACACCTGGAGCTCTCCAACAAGAAACTGCTGGGCTTCGCTCAGGTAACACCGGATTTATACTTTATATTGTATTATAATGTATTATACTTCATAAACTTTACACATTTTTATATACACTGCTCAAAAAAATTAGGGGAAAACTTAAATGACAAATCAGATCTTGATGAACGAATTGCTCAAGTTGAAAATCTTTACTGATGTACATTTTATACTTTGTTGAGAACAAAATGACATAACACTGGTCAATGGAAACCAAAATCATCAACCCACTGAGGGCAGGATTCACAAGCACACCCAAAATCAAAGTAAGAAACTGAAATCACAGGCTGATCCAACTTGCGTGAATTTCATCACGGCAACTCAGGTCAAGGGAACGTGAGGGCCAGTCAATGGCATCAATGCCTTCATCATCATGGAACTGCCTACACACTCTGGCCACATGAGGCCGGGCGTTGTCCTGCACCAGGAGGAACCCAGGGCCCACTGCACCAGCATGAGGTCTGACAATCGCTCTGAGGATTTCATCCTGGTACCTAACAGCAGTCAGGGTACTGTTGGCTATGACATGGAGGTCTATGCGACCCTCCAAGGGTCTGCCTCCCCAGACCATCACTGATCCACCACCAAACCGATCATGCTGGATGATGTTACAGGCAGCATAACGTTCACCACGGCGTCTCCAGACTCTTTCACGCCTGTCACATCTGCTCAGTGTGAACCCGCTCTCATCTGTGTAGTTCTGGTGATCTCTGGCGAATCAAACTACAGGGTGCTGCGCTGTGAGCACAGGTCCCACTAGAGGACATCAGACCCTCATGCCACCCTCATGGAGTCTGTTTCTGACAGTTTGCTCAGAAACATGCACACCAGTAGCCTGCTGGAGGTCATGTTGTAGAGCTCTGGCAGTGCTCCTCCTGTTCCTCCTCACACAGAGGAGCAGGTACAAGTCCTGCTGCTGGGTTGATGCCCTTCTTCGGCCCTGTCCAGCTCTCCTTGTGTAATGACCGGTCTCCTGGTATCTCCTCCATCCTCTTGAGACTTTGCTGGGAGACACAGCAAACCTTCTTGTGACCGCACGTATGGATGTGCCATCCTGGAGGAGCTGGACTACCTGTGCAACCTGATTGGGCTGCAGGTACCGCCTCATGCTACCAGTAGTGACAAAGACACTAGCAAAACACAGAACTAGAGAAGAATCAGTCAGGAAGGATCAGGAGAGAGCAATTGTCTGTGGCCACCACATGTAAAACCATTTCCTTTTTGGGGGATGTCTTGGTTTGGCCTCTCCATTGCACCTGTTGTCACTTTCATTTGCACCAAAGCAGGTGAAACTGATTCACAATCACTTGTGCTTCCTAAATGGACAGATTGAGATCCCTGAAGTTTAACTGACTTGGTGTTATACTGTGATGATTATATTGTGTTCCCTTAATTTGTTTGAGCAGTGTATAAATATATACACATTTGTAATATCATTTAGAATCACTGAGGAATTACTCCATTTCACAGAGCAGATCAGTAGAATTACATCACCTCCTGCAGGTGTCTGGAGAAATGGTTCAGATTTAAGATTTGCTTTTTTTCTGGCCTGTAGCAAAACATCTGTCAGCAGCTTGTTTGGGAGAAAAGTGTTGTATTTGTAATGATTCCTACTGGCTGCCAGTGGAGTTTGATTAAATTAATTAATGACTTCAATATGTCTGTAAGACTGTTAATAAATGGGAATTTACTCCTTGGCGATCAGCATGTGTCCTGTCAGTGCAGACTGCGACACTGCGTCTCATTCTGTGGACTCAGCAGCAACATCTATGGCAGCTCTAAATACTTCATGGAGATATGGAGCCAGTCTGCCAGATCCAAAATGTCAGCTGACTGAAGACAGTACAACAATGCACCCATAGACAGAGTGTTTTGGACCTGATCCTACTTCTCTTTTTATTTATTTTGTGAAGCAAGATAAAGAAACACAACACGGCACAACACAACAGCAAATACAACTACAGAGAACAACTGACAGATTTTTGTTATTGCTATAGGTTTAGATATATGACTGATACATATATTATTGAGGAGGAGAGAGAAATAGAGGCAGAAAACAGGTACTTGGTGGTAGATGGCAGGGTGGGGTGAGAAGCGTGCAGCACTAGGGAGGTGGAAGCTGTTTGGTCACTTTGTTGGTCTAATGATGTAGGTGGGGAGATGGGATTGGTTTGGTTGGATTTAGTTTAGAGTTGTTGTTGTTGTTGTTGTTGTTGTAGAGAAATACAGGGCTGCTCCTTACAGTGGTCATGCTCCAGACCCTTGGGAGGAGGCTGACCACCAGATCCTACTGGGTTCATCTTTCTTTCCCCTCTCAGCTCCGTCTGAAAACACTTCATCACCCCCTCTCTCTGTGACCTGATGTCTGCACTGGTTCACTGACTGATAAAAGCTTTGTCACAGAATCATGTCAAACTGACACAATATTTCTCTCTTTAGAACGTCCACAAAGTGCTGACGACACCAAGCCTGTTTGGAGGAGAGGGCGGGTAAGAGACCCCTGAACATCACATTATCAGCCCCACAGCTCTGGAGTCAGAGTGCTGTTTTAATCCCTCCTCCTGCGTGTTTGTGTGTGTGTGTGTGTGTCAGGAGCAACAGGTCGTCTCCAGCCACTGACAGCCCTGACACCCCGACACCACTTCCTGATCCTGCTTTCCAGCTGGCTGTGGAGGCCAAGGAGCTGGTAGAGGGAGTCTGCAGCGTCGCCGCTGATGGCAAAGGTACAGAGCTCAGACTGGAACACACCAGAGCAGGCTGACAGAGACTGGACCAGAGTACTCTGCACTACAGCTAGTCCATCATCATTTATCTGCAACAACTGTGGGAACTGATCAACTGTTTAATTCATTTTCCAAGTAAAAACATCAGCTTCTCAAATGTAAATATTTGCTTAAACTGGATATAGACGGGTTGTGGACTTAAGTCAGACAAGCAAGAGCTCAGGTTGGGCAGGTCTGGGAAAATGTGAAGGACATTTTCACCATTTCCTCACATTTATAATAATAATGATAATCATAATAATCATAATAATACATAGACAGAAACAAATACATATTATGTATTTACATAAATGTATATATATCATACATGCAGACACACACAGATGCATACATATATACTATAGATGGTACACTCTCTTTAACACAAGTATGCATTTCATAGACCAAATGATTAACTGACGAATATGAATTGTAATCAGACAATTAATTGATAATGGAAATAATTGAGTAGAGTAGCTCTGAATTTCAGTGGGGTTCAGAGGTTTGTAAGTAAGAAATATGTGTGTGTTTGCAGCCACACATAAACACACACACACAATTCATAATATATAACTAAATTAGTGCAATATATAAAAAAAAAATAGTATTGCAGTAGCTTCATGTAGCAGTGGGTTTTTTTTCTTTCTTTTTTTCAGATGTTTGGTCCAGATCAATAATTAATTATCAGCAGCATATCACACATTTGTATTCTCATGAGTGCCATGTGTCAGACAGACAATTTGAACCTTCGTGAGAGACAAAGACTTTTCGACCGCAGCCTAAGTCGTATAATTTATTCTTTGCCGCTTGTTCAGTTTTTTTTTCTATTGTTGTCAAGTTGAGTTTAGTGGCCACAGGAGAAAACATCTGCAAGAAAAACAAATAAATGGTAATCCACATGACATAGTGGTGAGAGCATATATGACATCACACAGGCAGAACAGAAACAATAGATGCATGGTGTTGATTCGAAATGATGATTATTGCTCTTATATACTCAGTGTCTTTCTGATCTGCAGCATCAGAGAGTGCGTCAGAGGCAGCGTCAGTCCCAGATGTCAGCCCTTATCAGATGTGAGCAGCAAAGAGCCAGAGGGGACAGCGGGAGGCCGGGGTAGTGCTGAAGAGGCTGAACCCACCACTGACCATACCACAGTCAACAGCACAGACACAACGCCATCCAACACAACTTCTGGAAATAATGACATCGCTTCAATAAATCCAATAAACCCTCAGCTCACACCGACCCACTGAACACAACACAGCCAACGTTTTGATGCCAAAGCTTCCTTGCACACATCAGACCAGTGTGGACCGTCTCTGTGGAGGGTTCAGCAGTGGGATGTGTTGAACTCAGCCGTGACCTGGAGACGATAAACCACATGTACACAAGTCTCTATGAGAAGTCTCTGCCAAATGAAACGTCTGCTGGAATCCTCTCTGTGTTGGTCTGAGAGCAGGTGGTGTAGGAGGAGCTGCATGACTGAGTCCTCCACACACACACCCACCCACACACCCCCCCCACACACACACACCCCCACACACACCCATACAACCCATCACAAACTTCACACACCCACACCCACACACCCACACTCTCCACACACCCACATTTCTATTTTTTATTTTTTGTCTTTCGATTTTCCTTCACTACACACACACACAACACTACACACAAACATGTTCACACACAACATTCATTTCACACACACACACACACACACACACACACACAGCTTTACACCTTGTTAATATTCCTCCCTGACTTCTTTTCTAACCACACACATAGATTCACTCCATGGATTTGCATGTAGAGGAGGACTTGTTTGCTTGGAGAGGACAAACCTTAGCTGGTCTGTCATAATAACTAGCCGCCATCTGTCTCCTCACACACCGTCGCTCTGCCACAGAGCTAACGAGCCGTTAATAAAAAAAAAAACAACAGTGTCCCTTTTCCCATCATGCTATCTCTCCTCGTGCCCTTACTCATTATTCAAAGGCAAAGAATGAAGTTTTGAAAGATACTGGACTCGAGCAGCTTCATGTCACTGCATGGTTCATGTTGATGAGTGGCTTTAACGTTGCTGTAGCTCCAGCTATGTAAACTTGTGTTTGTTAGTCACAGAGTCTAGACAGACATCCGTCATAGGCTACATTGATTTTATTTCTACAGACAGATGCAAATGCTTTTAAAGACTCTGACATGTCCTGTAGTTCAACCAGACGACTGCATCTTTGGTGTGGCCTCACGTTATTTCTGTTACTGTTTTATATTAAAGGAATAACTGATGACTGAACCTGATGTTGTGTTTATTCAGTTTGCCAACATGTTATTTCCACTGGAGGACAGTTTTATAAAATGTGAGGACATGATAAGCTTTATGGAGGACCAGGGATGTCATAGGAAAAGTAATATAGCATTTCCCTAATTTCATATTTTAATAGGCACTAATATAGGAATTATAAAAAAATGAACTATTAAAACCCACTGGTTAACTCTTCAACCAATCAGAGCTTGTTTCATCCCATGGCCAATAGGGATTGTTTAGCCTGGTTTTTACCAGCACTGAAGGTCCAGTGTCATGGAAAGGCTAACAGGAGAAGCTAAATAACTAAGTTAATTGATTAGCTGATAGGAAAAGGAAAAGCAGCTGGAAAAAGGAAATGGAAATGCCTTTTCAAATAGTTTTTCAAATTCTATTTTAATTCATGAATTAATCAATTGATTTGTAAATGGTTTGTTTAATCAGAGTTTGATGCCGTTTTTGTAAATTCATTTTTAAATCTGATGAATCAGATTTATTGATGGATTAATAGTTCATTTATAAATTATTTTTACAATTCTTATATCTAATGCCTATTAAAATATGAATTTAAGGAAATCCTTTAACTTTTCCTGTGACATCCCTGGTCCTCCAAGAGGCCTGGGCGATATCCAGAATTTAATATCTCCACATGGTTGAGCCCAAATATCATGCCCATATTTGATGTTTCAGGTATAAGCAATGCTGCTAGTAAACGGCAGTTCAGTTTTATTTGTCACAAGCCAAGGTACAAAGTATAGTAAGCAAAGCAGTGACATGAGTGTCGGAGTCTGCAGAAGGGCAGACTATACAAAACTGCAAAAAAAATAAAAATAAATAATATATATATATATATATATATAATTTTATATTATGAAAAATATTGCAGATGGTGGGAAATATCGTGATATAAAACCAGTCACTGTGCTGTTCACACTACAAACAGATAAGTGTACTGATGACGAGACGCCACTGTGGGGCAGTGGCGGCACAAAAACAGCACAGAGGGTATTTTACACAGCCCACAGGGAAGGATGTGGGGGAGAAAAGAAACATGAATTAACTTTAATCTGCAGAAACAAAGAAATAATCAACTAAAATGAATAAACAAGTGCAAATAACTAACTAAAAGACAATTCTGAGAACGATACATCCAATTCCTTTGAGGACGTGTTCACATCTATTCAAGTCTATGTTAAAACAATATTCATATGTCCATATGACACTGAGAACACTGTTGGTCTCTTCACTGTTAAAAGAGATTCCAGTGTGAGTGATGAAGTCCTCGTGTGAAAACGTTATTCAGCTTAAGCTTCAGCAGTTTATAAAACTTTTCTCTTGGTTACTGTTGCTCCACATCAGAGATGAAGATGATCTGTTGAGTCTGGCTCAGACTCTCATGGCGCATGTGGACATGTGAGTGGCGGGATTTTTACAACAGACTTGAAAAACTATCCTTTAATATTTATTTAAGATTTTGTGACTGCATTTCCCACCAGCACCATCTCCACATCCTCTCTCTTTCTTTCTTATATATTTTGCACATTTCTGCTGCAATCTTCTCATGTGGCACCATCTCCCTCTCCACTCCCATGAGACTCATTTAATGACATTAATAATATCATTAGTGGCACGCACGCACGTACACACACACACACACACACAGCGGTACTCCATGCAGACTTTGCAGACTTGTAGATGTCTTGGATCATAGAAACACTTCTGTTGCTTACATCAGGTCATGGTAAAATAAGTTTCATAAATTACTTAATACAATTGCTTCTAACAGTATTTTACTGCCCACACTACTTCATTTTCAAACCAAAACGATCTCTGTCCACACACATATACGACCATTCATGTACAGTGAGCATGTGCGAGCTGGTATAAACAGGAAGTAGATTGTCTGCAGTTGATTAGTTACAGTAAATCCTTTGAACGAGGAACAGCAAAGACAGTTGTAGCATTAAAAGAGAGAATGTAAGTGAACAACAGCTGCTAGCAAAGACAACAAGGTCAGTAACACTGTAACTCATTATCATGTTGTAGTACCCACTGGTAGTCCAGGCTGATGAGAACCAATCAGGAGAGACTGTGGGTGTCTACATCGTTTATGAAGGTCTCCGTTTCTGTCCATCCAGACTACAACACAACCCCAGAGTTTTCAAAATAAAACAGGTCCAGCAGAGTTTCCAGAAGTCTCTGTTTTGGGGGCCTGACAGTAGTGTGGACGGCAGGAGTAAATGTAGGAAAAGAGATGTGTTTTAAAATGAAAATGTAGTAGTGTGGACGTAGCCTATAACAATGTCTCAAGCTCAATTTAATTTAAGTTTCACCCATAGAAAACAGCAGAAGCCAAAGCCTCTCTATAACTGTCTGTATATCTCTACATGTAGAGTTCATCCCTCCTCAGAGCTGTTGCTTGAAACAGTTTCTATCGTTTTACTGAAATCAGTGATGTGAAAAAGTCAGGGTCATCAGAACACGATGGTTCATGATGAGGGCTTAGAACGCTTTCTGGAAGCCGAAGGGGGGCGAACCCACGCTGCTCGGGCTGCGGAGGTTTGAGTCGTAGGAGCTGGGAGTCATTCCCACAATGCCCTCAGTCTTGAGTGTCTCCCCACACAGGAAGTCATCCTCATCCTCCTTCGAGCCCTGAGGGACACAGAGTGAACAACCTCAGCCAACACTGAACAGGAAGTACACAACAGACCACACTGAGACCAGGGGACCAGTCTTCATCTGCTCATTTCTCTCCCATCACACATTTCCATTTCATATTTTCAGCTATTTTTAAATTTCACTTCATGTTCTAACTTTACACTGAATCGATCAGTAGAGGTCTCAATCACTGACCGCACAGAAAAGGGACTTAAAGGGACACTTTTTAAAAAGTTCCCTAATTTGACATCAGAGCCGTGGTGAACTGCTGGAGTTCTCCTCTGTTCACCTTTGTGTCTTCTCACCTGTTGGCCTGTTTTGGCAGGAAGCAGCTCCGTGTCTGCCAGTTCCTCCCAGACCTGGTAGAGAGGCTCAATCAGCTGACCAGACCTGTGTGTACACATTAAGATGAGGCCGCGACAACAGAACAGGCAAGAGTTTCAAATATTCCCTCAGAGAGATTCAGGTACAGGCAACTTCAACCTGCTGCCACTTTTATCAACAACTTCAATTCTTTGAGTGACTGCACAGTAATGCTCAAAATGTAAATATACCATTTTAACTAATAAGGCATTTAAATCTGCATCAAAAATGTTTGTTTACTGTGTCGATCTTGTGCCTGACGGATGCAGGCGAGCACCAGCCACCCTTTCACATATGTTTTGGTTTTGTCTAAATCTAAATAGTTTCTGGCAGTTAATATTTAAAACCCTCTCAGATGTTTTGGAGGTATCCATAGAACCTTTTGCTATTACTGCAGTATCTCAAGTATCTCCACAAAACATACATCCTAGTCGTCAGGCAGAAAATATGATAGCTTTAGTGTCTCTTGCTTGACGACTTACACTGCTTAAATGGAAGGATACACTTCCTCCAGTTTTGGGTTTATAGATCAAAGATCTTATACACTATTTGACACTGGAGAGAATTCTCTCGACTATAAGAGAGTGAGCTCAGTAATTCCATGTTACAGTGGCTTGCAAAAGTATTCATACCCCTTGAACTTTTCCACATTTTGTCACGTTACAAGCACAAATGTAAATGTATTTTATTGGGATTTTATGTGATAGACCAACACAAAGTGGCGCATAATTGTGAAGCGAAAGGAAAATGACACATGCTTTTCAAATTTTTTTTTACAAATAAAAAACTGAAAAGTGTGGCGGTGGCAACTTTTTTAAACTTATGGACACTACTGACACTGCAGTTTTGTAAAACTAACCCCATATTATATATTTTTATTTATAACTCTTTAACTTGTTATTTATTTTATTAATCTCAGTTTTTTTCCATTTATTAAATTGTTTATTTCATTTCTATTTTTTTGCTTGGGTTAGGAAATCAACTCAAAATATGGTACAGTAACACTATAGAGGGGACACACCGTCTTTGTTTAACTGTATCAGTGATTTATTACATTCTGTATGACTTTAAATACCCATAAGAAGACCTTGAATAAAAGAAAATGTATGTTTACTGTGTTTAAAGTGTCAGTCTGGAAAGATTTCAGTCCTGGTTGATTTGGTGACACCTGCAGTTTCTGGTGGTAACAGCAAATGTTGTTTAATACGTCAGGTCCCAGGATTCTGGAGGCAGCAAAACAAACTGTTGTCATTTTAACGAAGACGTCAGGCAATAATTGACCCGTCCGTCATTCTGTGAACAACCGTGTCCTGATTTGATGCTGCACAGGGCCTGAGTGTGAGCAGCAGGGCGGCTTACCTGGCTGAGAATTGGTTTGCATTAGCAGCAACTCAATGAAGCAGTTTGTCTGGGAAGGTTGCCACAGACATTGACTGCATAATACTGCAAATATATAAATACTGCCACACTTTCATTGTGTTACCTCCTACAGTGAAATATAGCGACTTAACAGACATTTATCTAAATGAAAACCATCCAGACTGCAACTTTAAAGCAGGAACACACTGATCAATAAATCAGTGTGAGTGATTCCTACAGTTCTGTTCTTTATACTGTTTAAAGTGAAAAGTTCATCAAACCCGTGCAGCATGTGTAGGCAGCACGACACATTGATATCATCTAACAAGCAGCAATCAGAGTTTTGAAAATGATGATGGAGTCACTACAAAGAATAATGAGAGCCACACTGACCTCTTGAGCAGGTAGGGGTCAAAGGGGAAGAAGCTGTCCAGAGGGTTGGTGTTGGTGGTCACACGGTCTCCTCCTGCTGAACTGCGGACCACCGGCAGCACGTGGCGGTTGTTCCTCTCTATGATGGTGTAGCAGAACACCACCTGATACTTCCTGCAACACAAACACACCTGCTGTTGTGGATGATGAGGAGGGAAAGCACCTGCAGCATTTCCATTACTGAGCTGTCATTTACTTCACACCATATTTTATCTGATGACTCAACACTGGCCTCTATCAACCACTGTTCTAAGTTCAACAGCTCAGAGAGTGTGTCATATTTTTGTCGTGACACGTGTTTGCAGGAGAGTTCATGTGGGAGTACCAGGGTTATACAAGGCAGTAACGAGTGCCGTTAGTGTCAGGGTAAAATTAGTCTTGATCGGGAAAATAACATCTAATGTAAAAAAAAAACTGAGGCCTCTGTTTTGTGTTTTATGGAGAGTGTTCTGAAGTACCATTGTACTTTTAGTATTTCCATTTGTTACTACTACTCCACTACATTTAAAGCTTAACTGTATATAAAAACATGATACCTCTCTCTCTCTCTCTCTCTCTCTCTCTCACATATCTCCAAAAAATCAAGACCAGAGAAAAGTCTACCAACCACTGGACTACACTGGCAAACTGTATATAAAGTACCAGCTACAACAGCAAACTGTGGTTGAAGCATTAATGTATCACTATTAACAGTTTAAGAATGTCATAGAGCAGGGGTCGCTTCTGATAACAGAACAGATATAAACTAAACTTTTCAACAAACAGGAAATATGTTGTTCAGTTTGAGTGATTTGATACGATATGTGAATAAATTTAACCAGTGATGTGTGACACGAGGAGCTCTCGGCCCCTTTGATTTAGTCAAAATAGCACTCAGAGGAAAAAGTCACTGGGACATTTGACCTTTACTTTGATACTTAAAGAGCAGTTAGAGCAGTGTCCGGGTGTGTGTACCTGGTGATGGCAGCAAACATGTTGGTGACGGATGGCAGGCAGACTTTGAGAGGGTTCAGCTGACACATCACCACCCGCTCCAGGTTCAGACTCTGCAGGTACTCCAGACCTGACACACACATACACATGCACGCACACACACACAAACACAAACACACACACAAACACAAACACAAACACACACAGCTGATGTTACCACAGTTGTTACAAAAATAAATGTGATGATGTTGTTATTTGATGTTTGTCATGTTGGGCTGTTGGCATGAAATGGTATGGATGAACAGTTCAGAGGTGTGTGTTGTACCTTTCTTCATGTTGCCCTCCAGCATGGCTCTGTGCCTGAAGATGAGAGTGTAGAAGACGGCCTGGCAGGCTGAGTAGAAGGGCCCATGCAAGCTAATGTCACAGCAGGCCTGTCTGCCGCTGCTGTCCTGACTGTCAATGTAGCGATGGATCCAGGAGAGCAGCAGGTCCAGACATGCCCGCACAGTGCTGTAGGTTGGGGGGAGTGGGTGAGTGGTACAACAGCTCATGGACATTTGGACTAGACAAATGTGTTTCAGCTGGCTTTGTGCAGAAACTACGGGTGAACTCACGACACAGGGATGAACTTGGCTCGGGCCAGGAAGCTTCCCATGTATCCAGCAGCAGCCTGGCGGAGGACAGCGGGCTGAGAGGGGTTCTGCAGGATCTTCCACAGGTGATCCAGGAAGGCCTCTACCAGGGCCTGAGGACAGACAACAAGAGATACAAAGGAATACAAAAATGTTTCATCTAACAGGAAGGAAATACAGAACTTCACAGGAGGTGAAAGAACTAAAAATCATCTGTTTTCTTAAATGCACAGGAAAAGCAGCAGAGGTGATTTAGAATTAGACACTTTCCACTTGGGTGAATGAAACACACAGTCCAGTTTGTGAGTACTTAGAGACACATTTGGTATTTTTGTATTGCATGGCTCTAGAACAATTTGGATTTGAAATTTTAGAAAGATAACTGTTAATGCTTTCTGTGAGTTTTAAATGGCATCATGTGACTGGTTGTAGAAAAAAAAGGGCGCACTGTCATGAAACTAAAAATCATGCCTGTTTCTGCAGAGCAACATTATCATTCATCTGGATGTGTGTGTGTGTGTGTGTCCACCTGTTGACTGGATGTCCAATATTCATCATCTTTTTATATTATGTTTATCACTTAACACAGCTGCTGCTGCTGCTGCTGCTGGAGATCAGGCTGACCAGTTCACCACTAAACCAAACAGTGAGCTAAAAGAGCTGAAAAAAATCTTCACACACATTCGATCTCAAAACGCAAACCTGGGACTGCCCTGTCATCAGAGACTATTGGATAAAGATACAAGGCCCTACAGGATTTACGGTGGTTCCCAGTCTTTACCACCTCATGACCCACTTGAAAATCTCAAAAAGTTTTGGCGGCTCACATCCGACCCCCAAATAAGACATTCTCAGAACATTTTTTATTTAAACGATAACGATTGAGATGAGCATTTACTGAACATAATGTTGGTGACTGGTAAAAAGAATCTTATCAGGAAATGGTTTTCACAGGAGAGCCCAACTCTAAATGTGTGAATGGAAATTACAATGGACATTTTTAAAATGGAGAAATGGAGAAACTTTGTCAAGCATAAATTGGAACAATGTATCACATATTGGAAAGAATGGATTAACTATGTAACACCCTATAGGTCTGATTTTATTTTCACAAATCAATAATATTCTCAGAGAACAGACTACTCCCTGCCTGTTCATGGTTCTTTTTCATTGTATTTTTTTTTTCATTTCTATAGACATTTACTTTGTTAAGAAGTATTCTGAGATCTGAGACGAACACAAGTATATACAAATATCTGTTTGATACTGAATGTCAAGTTCTGAGCTGGTGACAATTCCCTGTGAGTTTGATATTGTCCACATTAAAAATCATCATTTGATCCATTGTTAATATGATAATAGTGACTGGTGCAGCTCTGAGTGTGTCGGACAGTGATCCAGAACACACACACACACACAGGCGGACACGCGCGTACGTACACGTACACACACGTACACACACACACGTACACACACACGTACACACACACGTACACACACACGTACACACACACGTACACACACACTCACACACACACACACACACACACACACACACACACACACAACACACACACAGCTGAAGCTGAAGACAAGATTGATTGAGGGCTTGAAGTCACGTGCTGCTGTTTCCTGTCATTACATAGACACAGTGTTACTGACCACTCTGAAGCTGCAGAGGTAAAACAGTGTGTACTGGACGTGACAGGACGCATGTGTCGGCAGTATGAGTTTGTCAAACACACTCAACAAATCTCTGTACAGTTCCTTAGTCTGGTCCACATGAAAAGAGCCTAAGAGAGGAAGACAAAGCAGTGAAGACTATCACACACTTTACAGCCAAATACATTCACCTCTCAATGACACAAACACATCCAAGCACAAGTTTTACTGGTCAGTCTCATGTTGAGAAATGTGCAAAAATCTGTCATTCATGTACCGCTGACATGGCAGACGTCCTTGATGTAGGCTATCATCACAGCCATGAGGACGTCCAGCCTCTCAGCCACTGGATGAGCCATCACAGTCCTGGAGGGTTGATCTGCTGCCACGTCCTCGTCCTGAGACACACACACAGAAGCAGTGTGAAGGAAACTGAACGAACTCACTAACAGTAACACAAATACAGCAGCCTTTTCACATCCTGCTCACAGAGTTTCCCTTAATCGTGATATATTCAGATTATTTACTCTCTTGAAGGTTTATGCACATTTCGTCTATTTTGGTTTATGTTTGAACATGCTGCATTCATGCTATGTTATTTATTGAAATACAATTTGTTATAATATTATTATTATATTATTATAGATTCTCTAACGATTCCAGTTCCTTTTACCACAAACACTTCAACTGATCTCACTCACTCAAATACTGTTACAACTTATTTCCCGTCTATATTTTCAGTTCAGCTTCATGTTAGAACAAATTTTTTTTAACTGCAAATTTTCAGCAATGAGCACATTTACATTTTCTCCAGAAATGTTATTTCTAGTTATTTAGTTTATTTATTACCACATATTTTATTCTGTTACATCTACTTGATGCTTTCCTGTGGTGTAAATAGCTGATGCTTTAGATGCTTGATGCCAGACTATTTATTTTCTCTGTGATAAACCTGAATCTGAATATCATTGGCTGCTGTTTCAAAGTACAATCACTGAACATTTCAAACTAAGAACCTTCAGGGTGTGGATGGGTACTGAACCCCGGTATTAAACGGGCTACATTTCTCGATAGAAGCTGTCTCTGTGTCTGCAAACTTAGTTTTTCTCACTCGATGTTATTTCTGTACAGAAGACTTGAGGATAAGTTTTCCTGTCTATTTGAGCAGCATTCATGAAGAATATGATGGACATCATGCTTACATGTCCTACAGTTATCAGTTACACCTGAGCATGCAATACTGTTCAACAACGCTGTTAAAGGGCTCTCACCACTTAAATCTGCTGCTTTCCTCGATAGAAGCTGTCTCTGTGTCTGCAAACTTAGTTTTTCTCACTCGATGTTATTTCTGTACAGAAGACCATAGTATTGATAAGCTCCAACGTTATTGGTTCTGCTCTCGGTACTGGAGAAATTAAGAAAATAATAGAAAATTTCCTATTTATTATTACGAGATAAAAGTTCTCTCTTGTGCATTTTATCTCACCAACTCTGTTTCTGATTAAGACTTTGTCTATGATGCATTTTGACTGTTCCTGACTCAGAAGAGAGACCTCTCTGCACAGTGAAAATACTGTCAAAGAAAAAGTCCTTCAGTAAATCATTGTGTATTACATTTGTTTTACATTTCTATCATTCCAATATCAGTCTATAATAGTGATTTGTTCAAAACAATGTTGTTGAAGGTTGCTACTCTAGAATGTTAGTTGAGTACATATGAGGAAGATATTAGTTTAGAGTTAGTTAACAGTTTAAATTAGTTTTTTTTTTCTTTTACAAAATAGCAAAAAGTACCAATAAGAGAACTGTTAAAGGACTGGACCAATAAGAGAACCGTTAAAGCATCAGATTGATAAGCAGTACTGGTAAAATTAGTAGCACTGTTAAAATGTTAACGATACCCATCCCTACTCCAGAGGAAACAGTTTGTTACCATGTGGAAGAGACCCTCCTCAGTCTGCTCCTCTTGGCTCTGCCCTGTGTTCTCCTCTGCCTCCTCAATGTCTGACCGGGATGCACTCACCTGAAACACACCACACACACTGTCACAGACCGGAGGAGACACACACACCTCTCTATTCTCCAGTGGAGGTCATCATATATGTGAACCAATAATGTGCAAAATCAATTGGAACAGAACATGAAAAACTTATGTGTGAACTTAAGGTCTGCACATCTGTGCTGAGAACAGGGATATGACTCTTACACTTCTGCTACAATGTCACAACCTTCACTTCCTGAATTATCTGGCTCGCATTGTGCTCAGATCTTAGGCAGGTGGAAACACAATCTTTGACACCTTCAGCTGATTGGCCACCACTTAAATTACTCATGTGCAGGTTTTATGCTGGGGAACAGAGATCTGGGGCCAGTTGCACAAAGCACCTTAAGTTTTTAAGCTAAGTTTGACACTTAAGGTTGAACTTATCCTTAGCTGAGAGTTACTTAAGGATGTTGCACAGAATCTCTTCAAAGGTTTCCTCAGTTACAGTTTTTCTCAATCGCTTTGATGCAGTTCTCACATCAGAAACATCATTCTCACCTCTCTTAATGCAGTTCTCAGAACAGTTCATCATTTCCTCACACACATTAGCATTTCTCATTGTATTTGTACAAGCTTCCTTTGTATCCACACATAGAATTCCTGTCAGCCATAGCAATGGAGTCGCACTCTCAGCTTAGGAGTTTTCACTTTTCCTAACTAAAAGTTGGTCTCAGCAGCTTTGTGAAGAGGATTTAGGAGAAAACTTCAGAAATTTTTCGCACAAGTGTTTCGCTGCTTCCAGCTGCTTTGCTCGGCCTGTGTCGTTGTTGTTGACTTCTGTGATGTCGCTGTAAATTTCATTGTGTTGCTGGTTCTTGAAACATCTCGCTTCAGCTCTGTAGCGAAAATTAGGCAGCTGGCTAACACCGGCACACCGGCTGGCTAACACCGGCACATCTACAGTAATGTTGATTGATGTGCATTGTTCATAAACAAATTCATTATTTCACAGTTCAATATAAAACTGTGACTTTCCCCTTCTTACTCCATAAAGCACTGGATCAGCTGTGTTGTGTTTAACACTCACGTCCAGTTTGAGCATCTTTCCAACGATCACCTCCAGGACGTCTCGGCGGATGGACGGGATGTACACTGTCACCCTGAGGAGGTTGTGGACGTAACACTCCTGTAGAGATCAACAAGCTGTCAATCACCACAACACCACGATGCTCATCAGTGTGTCAGCAGACACTGTGTTTACCACAATGAGTTCAGACAGAAAACAATGTTCATGCAAGTATAATGTTAATGTGAAAAATGTGAAAAGTGAGAGTTGTCATTTTACCACTTCCACAGCCTGATCTGTGTTGTATTGATTATTGAATATGAATGGATTATTGCCAACATCAGATGAAACTAATCAGATTCCTGCTGCCTCTCCACAGGCTAACAAATCACTGAGGTCACCATGTTTTCTAGCTGATGAGGTGACAATGGTCATATGATCTGCAACATCATCAGTCATCTCTTACCAGGGTTCTGGAGGATTTCTGTATGAAGGGGAAGTTCTCCTGCAGAATGGGCATCAGAAAGCGACTCGTGCTGAAAGAAGACGGCAAATCCTTACAGGACAATACACAGAAATGACAAATACAACTTTAAAGCAATGTTTGTGAAGATCTGATGAAGATCACAGGACAAGGTTTGGACTATGTGAGAACATGGTGAGACGGTCACAGAGGTGAGACTGAACATGGCAGCGCCCTGCTGCTGGACGCCGAGAACAATTGTGGATTTAACAGACTCAGCCTTTCATCACAATTGAAAAATATCAGCCATTTGAATGTTGAGCAACTAAGCAGAGTGTCCTCCAATCAACAAACAGAAAACGTTCCATTCCTCAGGAATTACATCGAAAACTGTTACAGGTTCTTACTAGTCTGGACCACAGTCAGGATGAAATCCAGACCCTCACAAACTACAACACGATCCGCCAATACGCCAAAACGCTGATCACTCACATGTACAATGTAATAAAAGACAACAGGTTAATGAAAGAAATTATACTTGATATTCAATGTAGACGCATGAGCGATAATTTAATTCTCTCAGTGAATCGCTGAGAATCAACAGGAGAACCCAAAAAACACCATCTGAGAATTCATGCACTGAAACTTCCACCTGATGTGGAACAGGAGATAATGTTTCACCAGGTCCATCGTATCACAGCAAAGAAGGAAGGAAGCACCCCCGTCCCTTCATAGCAAAATCTGACCATTACAAACAAAAGGGCCCGATCAAAAGGAAGGGGGAAGAACTCCTTTGGATTCAATGAGCAGAGAAATAAATGAAGGAAAATTTAAAGAATTTAATTATGAAACTATAACGAGCCTAGTTTACATCAACAGACAACTGTTCTGCAACAGCTCCATCACTCCTTGGCTGATATGATATCCAATATGAACAATACAATCCTCCTCATATGATCTCCCACAGAGAGAAAGTGGCAGAACGACACCAGGTGACTTACGATGGGACGTATCTGGTGATGAGCTGCAGCGCCTGGTGACTCTGATCGAAGTTTCTAGGGAGGTCTGAACAGACAGAAGGAACAGTGGAGAGTTCATTCATTTGTATTTAGTATCAGGATGTAAGCTGCTCTCTAACACTGCCCTGCTTCACATTCACTCACTGCTCTCCCCTCTTACCCTGCCCAGACTTCAGCAGACAGACAGACAGCAGGTTTCTGATGTTTGAAACAGCCACTTAATAGAAGCCAAGTGCATTAGAAATAAGAAAGACGGCACTTACTCTCATCTTCATCATCTGAATCAGAGATATCCACCCCTCCTTCACAGATGGTCACTCTCTCTGAAAACAAACATACACAGCCATGTAACATAAGGCGAATGTTCACTCTTTGCATTTCAATGGAAACACACACCACACATGCAATGATCAGAATGTGACTGGTGATAAGATAAACAACATCACCTCACAGCTTCGACGCCACTGTGAGCCCTTGAATTGTGAATGTAATTCATGAAACACAGTCTTGTCAAGCGAACATACTGGGAGTGAAGTGGGAGACCACCATCTTGAGGCAGGCACACAGGTAGACAGTCTGCGCTGACACCAGGTTACTGAGGAAGGCCATGTACTCCTCCACCACAGCCTGGCTCCGACCCACCCATGGAAGCCTCTAGAAAACACAAACAGTGTCAGCGTGTAAACACAACCAGATTATTAGTTTGACCTCGATTTTTGACAGTGATTCCAAAGTCTGTATGGTACATTCATATCTGTTTTTGGGCTATTTAAAGCTCTGACGGAGAATGGAAGAATGACTGAGGGAAGACCTCTGAGTGGAGAAAGTGGGTTGCATAAGATAAAACTTTGACTGCATGTTTAATGGCTGACTGTTCATATATGGGTTGGAGAGACTGATGTTCTTCATAAAAGGAGGACATTTAGGCCATTCTTCCTTATAGACCATATTCACATGGCGGCCATTTTCCTCTGATGTCACGCTGAGGGTGGGAAACCTCTTTAAGCCACTTTAATATCCCTGAGTAAATCCTGTGGGAGAAATGCGAAATGGTCAAAAAATGTATTTACCTCCACTTTCATTTGACCAAATTGATAAATGGGCAGATGAATTTGCGAGGATCCACAAAAGGATTCAAAAGAAAGGAAACAGAAACTGGATTGAATCTTACATCCACTATGTTGAAGGTAAGAGCAGCCCACACTGGAAACACTGGAAGTTAATGTTATGTGAGCAAATGTGAAGTTTGAGATGAACATAAACGTCAGTGTTAGCGTTACTAAAGTGGTCAGGTGTCAAATCAGTTCACTGGCTTGTGCAAATGTTTAACATGAACTAATTTTATATAGTTTCATCATCAATCTGCATCAATGTAAAATGAATGAGCAGACTCTACTAGGTTGTTAGAGGTATCACAATATGAGGTTATTTAAAATGACAGAGTCAAGAGGCAAGTGACATATCACAGGCAGTTCAGTTTAGATTAGAGAAGTCGAGGACAGAAGTACCACCACTGTCAGGGCAAAGGCATGAAAGGAGCCGTCATACATGGTATCCATTGTCTTGTCAGTTGCTGATGGATCGGGAAGCGGAGACATGACAAAGATTTGTCAGATTTTCGACACTTATATGAGTTACAACCTGGTACACAACAGTACCACATTGTCCTTTCAGTGACAAAATTTGAGCTTCCCACCCTGAGTGTGACATCAGAGGAATATGGCCGCCGTGTGAATATGGTCTACAGAGCTGTTTCAGTCAGACAGATTCTCTGGATGTCTGGTGTGAGCGGTTCGCTGAGTTCAGTCCACTGCATCTCTACTGGATTCAGGTCTGGGCTCTGACTGGCCCGCTCCAGAAGGTGGATTTACTCTGATGTTCAGGGTCATTGTCCTGCTGCATCAGCAGCTTCTCCTCCGCTTCAGCAGGTGGAGAGACACCCTGACATGATCCTGGAAGAGACCGTCATGAACTTGGGAATTCATTTTCCCCCTCAATGATTTGGAGCTGTATGTTATTAGTTAAAACAGAATGTGTTTGTTCATTATTGTAATTTAGAATCTGATCGTATTTTAAGACAAATTTAATTCAACAGGGTTCACTTTAGTTTCTTTGTTTCAGTGTTTCAGCAGATATAACCAAATGATGCTGGTCTCTTAACAGTGTCATTAGGAGTGTGCAACGTGGATATAATCCTCTACCATGGTACATGTAATTTACACACATGTAACATGATACAGTACATTTTCTGGAAACTCAACTAGGAAATTTTATTAAAAATGGGGAAATCTGGTCAATTTACGAACTGACAAAATAAGACAAGATTACTTTCATTATTGGTTAATCTGCTGATCATTTCCTCAACTCATTAACTTATTATTGTTTTTGTCTATAAAATGTCTTCACATAGTGAAAATGTTGGTAGTTTCCCACAGCCCAAGGAGCATTCTCAGATGTCCTGTTCTGTGTGAGCAATAGTTTTCAGGTTACTGTGATGGATGACAGAGGAAAGCATCAGATCCTCTCTTTGACGTTTAAAATGTAAATGGGATGAATTTTGCATCATCACAACAGTTGGTAATATTTTTCTGTTGATCAATTAATCATTGCAGCTGTAAAAAAAAAACCCAAAAAACATTAAAATGTACCTTTTAAAATCTAGTTTCATGGCGCCCACAGTATTACAGTTTTTCTCAATCGCTTTGATGCAGTTCTCACATCAGAAACATCATTCTCACCTCTCTTAATGCAGTTCTCAGAACAGTTCATCATTTCCTCACACACATTAGCATTTCTCATTGTATTTGTACAAGCTTCCTTTGTATCCACACATAGTTCACTACTAAAGACGTTTTCTCATTGTGTTGATGCATTTCTCATCTGACTCTGACAACTCATGAAAACAGTTTGTTCCTCCGTCAGATAGAATGACAGACCTCTCACTCACTTTGATACTGTCCTGCAGCATCAGGGTTTTCAATCAGATCACTTTAAACTTTCTTCAAATATGTATGAGAGAGCAAGGCCAGTCTCACACACATGCGCGCGGCACACACACACACACACACACACACACACACACACACACACACACACACACACACACACACTGTGTGTGGTGTGAATTTACTGTACTATAACTAATGCTATGTTCTAAGTTTGATTCATATTTCTCTTTGTCTATTTTCAGATGAATAGTTCCATGTTTATCATTTTGCTTTCCTCAGTTACAGCAGTTCTGTGAATTTAGTGATACAGTTTTTTCAACTGCTTTCACACATTTTCTAAACAAGATCTCATTTTTTCAAAACCCTTAACCCTTTTGCACTGGTGATTGAGTGTTAGGAGAAATTCATAACTATTTTGAGAACCGCATTAAGAGTTGTGAGAATGAGAGTGATTGAGGAAAAACTGCAATTTGACCCTGACATGCCCCTTATTTTGCACACTGGTCTTGCAGTATACCACTATAATATCAATCTGCTGATATTTTGTTGTTTATACGACTAATCCTCTGGTCTATAAAATATCAGAAAACAGTTTCACAGTTTCCTGGAGGCCAAGCTGATGTCTTCATGTTGCTTGTTTTGTCTGACCAGTCATAAACCTACAGACATTCGTATCACTACAATGTAAAGCAAAGGAAAGCAGTTCATTGTTATATTTAAGAAGCTGGAACCCAGAAACTTTTTGTTTGAAATGTGACTTCAGTCAATAGATTCTGATCAATCGACTAATCGTTTACCCCCCGACCACCACCACTACACCCAGACATATATACCCCCACACCGCTCTACACTCACCAAGATAGTGTAGATGAGCTGCTCATGATCTTTGTTCAGCTGGGTCACACAACTCCGAAACTCTTGCAGCCAGTTGATGATCTGAGCATCCTGTGGAGAGCCAAACACAGCCACTGTTACATCAGTGATCCCAGGTCTGATGCTCTGCAGTAAGAACAATAACAGAGCTATTTGTGCTTTATTCCAACAACACGTAGTCTCTCTACCCTATGTTATTTTCATTGGAGTAAATTTATTTCTAATATTTGTTGGAAAAAGGTTTGGATGCTGCCGCACAGATTCCTGATTAATAGCTAAACAAAAGAGGTTTCCTTTAAATTATTAAACTGAACTGAACTTTATTCTACAAGTCATTACCAGACAACATTTGTAAAAACAATGGACCCTAGTTGTATTTTTTGCAACCTTGCAAAGTGAGACTATTACACATTTATTTATTTAATAATGCTAGCTTAGACTATAATGTTTTCATTTAACATTATACCTTAAATATACCCCTTTGCAATTCAATTTCATACACTTTTTATTTTTTTATCTTTTTAATTTCCTTGTATATTTCTTTACACATCTACCAATTGGGATTAACTATTTACCTGACTATGCTCATGCTTGTTCATGCATATAATGTTCCTATACATTTTCAATAAATAAAAATAAAACCACTGATGCTCTGCTCTACCTTTATCTCAGGATCAGCCAGCTGATGTTTCAGCAGTTCATAATCACTGGAGTCTCCCTTCAAACGAGAAGAGAAACAGCGAATCAGACACAGAAAGCTGCTGAGCTCTTCACCTTTACCTTCTTAATACAGCAACAAACAGCTTTTATTCGTGCAAGTGTTCAGATGCTGAAAATGACCGAGCAGCACCTGAATTCAACTATGTCACATGGTAAAAACAGACTGACACGACGTCAGAACTCACCTGTTTATGTTTCGCTAACGTTTCCGCAACACTGCCCCCAAACCTGACTGTCTTCACGGGAGGGCTGTTCAAAAAGTCCCGGCCGTCTACATCCATGATGACTGTCCTCATGCAAAACAATAAAGCTTGTTGTGGCTAAGCTAACGTTAGCTATCCTTCCACTAAAACTTCCAGATGAACTGGAAACGACGAGCTGGTTTCATTGTTCTATCTAACAGTTCAGTGATATTTATATGGTCGATAATATAATAGTTTTTGATGGTAAATTCTCAAATACGCTGTAAACAACCAAGCACATGTGTGAACTTTCTCCACAAGAGGAAGAAAGCTGTGTATTTACGGAAGTGAAGACAGAACCCTGGTGTCGCATTCAAAGTGTTCCCAGCGACTCGACTCACAGGATTATGGATTCCGCTTGGCTTTAAGACAAATACATAGATATTGATCCCAGATTAAGTTGTAGGCTTCTAGGCTTCGTAACTATAACTATAATTAAGGTTAAGTCACTCATAGTTGCATAGTTTCCAATGGGAGGTGATCACGTGCTTGATTGTCCCAGAGAGGAAGGATCTCCTGAGTGTTGAGCAGCTCTGAGTAGACCGTGATTATTGTGCTGCCCAGTGGGCGGCTGACATTGTCATGTCAAGTCAATTTTATTCGTATAGAGCCAGTCTGGTAGGCTTTATAAGCATGCACTTGGTGACAGTGGAAAGAAAAACGTCCTTTTAAAAGTTCCACATAGACTTATAACAATAATAGTAATAATATTACAATAAAACTACAATTAAGCATCAAAGTGAATCAGAAAAACTGTAAATTGGACCAACAGAAAATTGACCCAGTTCTCTTTATGGTCCACTTCAGCTCTGAGCTTCAGTAATCATTCTGTTCCCACTATAGTTCCTCTGGAGCTCTCAGACCTGCTGCTTTGACCTACTGCTTTGGATTATCCCAGTTATTCATTTGCCTCCTTTAGTAATAATGGTACATGTAATAAATGGAGTTCATTTGTTGTAATGGTGGTGAGGCTCAGTGTATTGGAAGCGCTCCACCAATTCCCTGCAGTTCCCGAGCAGCCGGGAAACCAGGGCAGCTAGATGACTGCCCTTAACAAGAGCTGTAGCCCTAAGTTTACAGTTGGCATCCATACACATTCCAGCCATATATCAGGTTTATACTTTGTCTTGTTTGATAAAAAGTCTCTAAATCTAGCAACAAATGTGCCAATTTCGTAACACTGAGGCCAAAAATAGAAACACCATCCTGCTGAAAGTCTAAGAGCTGGTCAAGACAACACAGCTGTCTTATAACCTTTTTCATGTGTGGCATCAGCCTACAGTTTACGTTATAGCCTGCTATATGCATAAGTATACTGTATATGCTATATGATGGTTGCAGCAGGAACACAGCCACAGCAAAACCATATATCGACGACATTTTGAATGTTTGTCAGTACGGTTTGTGTTGTCATTAGCTGTAAAGATCCAATTGTCCAAACAAGGCCAGTACATCTGGTTCGTTTGCTACATAAAATGACCTCAGTTTGGTAGATAGCTATGACAAGCTTATTGAGCTAGTCACATACAGCTACAGTATTTTAACTGGTCTGAACCCAGTATCAACAAACACCTAACTTAGCAAACATATTAAGATTGTCAGTTACATTATACAATTAACTACCTTCATAAGCTATCACTACAAAGCCAACGCTAGCATTAACAGGTGTTCACTGACCAGTTTAGAGGAAAAGTTGCGAGTTCAGCATGAAATCCTGGTGGACTGCTGAATCATTCAAAAAACCCATAAAGTTTTTACCTGCCCTGTCTGTCTCTTTACTGGCGTTCTCTGTGTGCCTGTCATTCATTCATTGAGAGCGTGCTTCATGCATCTAACTCTCCACAAGCTGTCTCCAGTGGTGAATATTAACGGCAATGGTAACTCTTGTTTTGCTTCTATTTTCATCCCTTCTTTTCTTCACTGCTAAACATGTTTTCTTGCCCAGAGCAGGTGGAGGTGATGGAAATAATGGTCACTCGCCAAGAGTTTCAGCCAGCATTGCGTTTACAGTTCAATTCAGAACTGTGGATTGACTCCCTATCACATCTTGAGATACAAAGTAGTATAAAAAAAAAAGGTGACAGTCTGGGGGTAGCTGGTAGCATGCTAACTTCAGTAGATCTACATATAGCCCCTTTAAACAAACCAAATCTCAACCTATACAGGTGGCAGAATATTTCATAGGAAAGATGTTTGTATGGAGGCTGTGATGACAGGGGCATCACATCAGAACATGCCAAAAAAGGATAGTTCTGTTTTCAGTGTTGAAGTGACTGACTGAATTTGCATGTTTCAACACGTGAACAAGGTTTTGATTGTTTTAGAGGCTTTTGCACTGGTGATTTAGTGTTGGGAGAAATGCATTGGGTGTTTTGAGAGCTGCATTAACAGTTGTGAAAATGATGTTTCTGATGAGTGAACTGCATCAAAGCGATCAAGAGACTAAAAGTTTATTTTCCAAACCAGTTTTTATAAATATTTCATAATGTTAAAAATAAAATACTTAAGATAATATAACTTTGGTAAATAGTTTCCCATACTCCCTTGCTCTAACATATAAAACACATAATATGTACTTTGATCAATTACACTGTAATTTCCAGGTTGGATTATAAAGTTTTACTAATTGTTAATTGTAATGATGGCAGCAGCTTACTTCAGTGGATGAAGCTGTGTGATTGAATGTCTCTTACTGCATTGCATCTTGGGAATTGTAGTTGACTTTTCTGCTTCAGTTTTAATGTCCACAGATTTCTTGTATCTTTGACCAGATATTTTCTACACAGTAATGCATTCACAACTGTCTTTTGATGTCTCTTTATTACTGTCATCCAGAAAAGGCTCTGTACAACAACCATGAGAACTTTAGACCTCATGTGGGAATGTGTGTGGACTCCCAAAAAAATTGCTGTCCTGATCACCAGCAGAAAGTCCTGGGGCACATTAGCATATTGTCACAACTGTCAGGGTAGTCAGGGTTTGAGGGGTAAAGCTGGACCCAAATGCAGCCAACACATGGGAGATGGTGCAGACAGGTTTATTAAACTAACACAAGCAAAGGGAACCACAGGGGATGACAACAGGTAACATGAACAGAACGAACCAATTACAAAATAAAACAGGAAATGCGAAAAGTCCAAACAAAAACAAAAAGGTATCTGCCATAGCAAACCATGACAGTAACCGCCCCCCCCTCCCCTTTAAGGGTCGGATTCCAGACAACCCTTAAACAAAAACACTAACTTGGGCGGGAGGAGGGGTGCCGGAGGAGGGATCCAGGGGCCAGTGGACAGCATCTTCTGATGCTCAGGGGCAAAACAGGGCAACTCAGGTGGACGGCTCGGAGGCCTTATGGACAGGCTGGGCAGTTCAGTGGGGCGACTCAGAGGTCGGGCAAACGGACGGAGCCGTTCTGGAGGCCGACAGCAAAGACCGGGTCTCAGGAGGTTGAGGCGGAGGCCAGCATGGCAGGCGGAGCCCCTCTGGAGGGCGAGCAGGAGCCGACTGGGTACCAGGGGCAGGAGTCAGCTGGGCTGCCGACAGAACACGGGGAGCAGGTATCAGCCGGACCACTGACTGGGAACCAGAATCGGGAGTTAGCGGGACCGCCGACAGGACAGGAGGAACAGGACTCGGCTGGACCGCCAACAGGAAGCGATGAGCAGGGATCGGCCGGACCACTGACTGGGAACCAGAACCAGGAGCCAGCTGGACTGCCGACAGGACAGGAGGGGCAGGATTCGGCCGGACCGCCGACAGGGAACCGGGTGTCGGCCGGACCACTGACTAGGAGCCAGAATCAGGAGTCAGCTGGGCCGCCGACAGGACACAAGGAACAGGATTCGGCTGGAAGCTGGGGACCTTGGACTGTGGCTTGGGCCGGAGGCGAGGAACCTGGGGCTGGGGCCGAGGCCGAGGCCGGGCCTCCCCTTGGCAACAGGAGCCATGATTACCTCGCCTTCTGTGGCCTCCCCGAAACCCTGTGAAAATAGCCAGACGAGTTCCCATGAAAGGGGACTCATCAGGGTCGTCCAGGTCCGAGTCAGAGAGGGGGTCAGCCAGCGTGCAAAGGGGCATGCAGACCGACGAAGGTGCTTGCTGAGAGGATGGAGGCACCCTTAAGAAAAGCCATGAGGCTGGCGTAGACCGCTGATGGGTCCATTTCTAAGGTCGGTTCGTACTGTCACAACTGGCCTCCCCTTGGCAACGGGAGCCATGATTACCTCGCCTTCTATGACCTCCCCGAAACCCCGTGAAAATAGCCAGACGAGTTCCCATGAAAGGGGACTCATCAGGGTCGTCCAGGTCCGAGTCAGAGAGGGGGTCAGCCAGCGTGCAAAGGGGCCTGCAGACCAACGAAGGTGCTTGTTGAGAGGATGGAGGCACCCTCAAAAAAGCCATGAGGCTGGCGTAGACCGCTGGGTCCATTTCTAAGGTCGGTTCGTACTGTCACAACTGTCAGGGTAGTCAGGGTTTGAGGGGTAAAGCTGGACCCAAATGCAGCCAACACATGGGAGACGGTGCAGACAGGTTTATTAAACTAACACAAGCACAGGGAACCACAGGGGATGACAACAGGTAACATGAACAGAACAATGACAAACCAGACTTGAACAGCTTGAGGGGAACCCATGGATGAATAGATCGAGGAAAATCCAGAAATCAACAGGCATGAACAGGCTAAGGGTAAACCCCGAGACAACAGACCCAGACAAAGGGGAGCACAAAGACTATATAGACAAAGGAGGCAAGGGTGATTGCACACAGATGAAACACATTAGGGCGGGGCAGACAATCCCCACACAGACACAGGACCAAGACAGGAAGCAAAAACACTGACACAAAAGGAAACCAATTACAAAATAAAAAAAAAAAGTCCAAACAAAACTAACAAAAGGTGTCTGCCATAGCAAACCATGACACATATTTTGTTTTCTAACAGTTGGATATACAATTGTCTTATAGCTGTGAAGAACTATATTTCTTCATCTAGCAAAAGGTTAATTTTTGTTAAATTAATGTGACAGACACACATGATGATGAGATGTTTTGGAATATTTCATTCATTCGTGTGATTTTATCGCAAGAAATTTAAAAATCAGTTCAATACCGAGAGAGATGTGTGAGCAAATAGTTTTCAGGTTACTGTGATGGATGACAGAGTGAAAGCATCAGATCTCTCTTTGACGTTTAAAATGTAAATGGGATGAATTTGCATGCATCACAACAGTTTGGTAAATATTTTTCTGTTGATCAATTTAATCAT